GTCTCACACTCTCATACATGCACGGTACGAACAAAGAATTTTGCAAGCTGCCTTTGTACCGTGTATATCTATAGAGACATAAATACGATCGTCTGTATGTATTCATAGTTCTTCTTTAAGTAGATCCCCGTATTTTGTCATACGACTACCAGCAAAGTCTGCATAGTGCTTAACAAGCTCTTCAACAGATAAGAATTGATCCTGTCGGAAAAAAAGGTAAAATTATTTTGTATTAAAACACCTCAGATAGTCAATTATTACTGACATAATTTTTCCTCTTTGAGAAAACCCTTATTAAAAGCTCTAGCTTCAGTGTTCTCGTTCACCCCATGAAATGAGACTTCGGATCCATTTCTAATAAACCTCTTTTCGGTGTGGCCAGGGTTCTAGAGTAGTGGACGTGGGATTTTCGAAATTTAATGCCCACATAAAATTAACACTTCCAGATCAACCTCGCCCTAATTCCTTGTTACCAAAGGCGGGGTCAAAAGCAACCTAGCTTTCCCCCCTCCCCCCCCCCCCCCCCAAGCTACGTCATTGTATTTATTTTTGCCTTTTTTTGGAAATATGCAATCAGGAATTAAACAATTTCCGTATCAAACTTTGGGTTGCAATTTTGGGTTAACAATGACCGATATTTTCTCTCCTTTTATGGTCTTTTTTATTGTTTAAGGTAAAGTGCCTCTATTATTCGAGAAACAAAAGGTTGCAATTACCGATGCGTGGCAAGATCATCGACCGCGAAATAATTCAAACCTTCGTAAGTCACATTAGCGCAACAAGTGCCGACTTAGGGGAGTAAGGTGTGAAGAAAATATACCGTAAATATGATCTAACACGAGAGGGAGTGAGAGGCTATTTTGTAAAGGCTCCTCATGAAGTCTCAGCGGTTCAAATGAGCAAACAAGTTTTCATGCCCAAATAACTGACAAAGCAAATACCTAAACAGAACGTGCTAGATTTCCATGTTACAAGCTGAAGACAGAGCCAGTGCCAAAAAAAAGCAGTTTGCCCAGGGGCCTGCGAGATCGTTCTACTTTTTAGTCTACCGTTGTTACAAGTTACTACTGGTCATTACCTTGTCATCATCACCTATTTTCATGAGGTGATTCGTTTCTGATTGAATAGGATCCTCTGTTACTCCTGGGAGAATCCAGCGACGGACTTCATCCTGTAAAGGCAAAAATGTTAACAGTGATAATAAGAATCTCCTCTCATCGACCATGTCCTAAATTCAAACCTTCCACTGACGCGTTTTTGGCTACGCACGTTAACGCACGTAAATTTTAATCACGTAAATAAAATAGAGGCAAGATATGAAGTGTTGAGATTAAACGCGAAGTTGAGCAAGGTTCTACTTTTACGCTTACGTGCGACCTTTCATACATTGCCTCTATTTTATTTGCGAACGTAAATTTCGCGCACATACGCACGTTAAAATTACGCGACATGAGTGGAAATCGACCCTTACTCTCAAACTGTCAATAGACCTTTTTACCTATACGGCGGCCATATTGAATTAATTCGATTTAAGGAGTATCATAGGATGCCCAGGGGCATGAGCACATTTCGTTTGTATTTTCGAGCGCTTTTCGGGACATTTTTTCTTAAATTTTTCTTAGAATAAGATTGTAATGGGAAAAAAGATCCTTGTGCCGTGTTTTGATGTGATAATGATCGCCTTTTTCCCGAGAAATATACAGTGAAAGACCGTATTTCTAATACTAAACCTTAGAAAAAGGCGATCATTATTGCAACCAAACAAGAGAATACGTTAAATTCATTTCATGAAATAAGGCAGTATGCTATGCGAGGTGGTTCTAAATTTTCAGCGTGAGGATGAAATCCTAATTTGCAACCAGTCAAACTTACACTACTAAGTAATACTTTCCTCTGGTATTGTCGACCTTTACGAGAAGTTTCGATTTATTTCTTTAACTTTTATCGTAAGTTTATTTCTTTAATGTTTTTGGAAGTGTAAGAACTACTAGAAATCAGTGATTAAGTCGTCCGTGTACTCGCGAGTATGCATTAAATACTGTGCACAATTTTCTTTGGAGCTGGTGCTTTTCAATGTTATGTTCAACGATAACCGCATTTTCATCACTAACTATCAGTGACAAATAACGGCGTTTGATTTAGAAAGTTAGACTGATAAAAACGAAAGGTATAAAAAAAACTATGTACAAAAAGGCGTACCGAATCAAGATAACCATCTTTGTTTCGGTCGAGCTCCTTTTTAAAGCTTGTAGTTAGAGAGCGTATGCTGGGCTCGCTTAAGTTATCACCTGTTGAAAAAAGAAAAAAAAAACAATATACTAAGAGTGTTACAAGTTATGTGGTTTGACAAGCAGTCAGAAGTGATGAGAATTTTTCTGATGATCGTTATAATTAGTGTGATTATTTGGCTCAGCTAATTTAAATCGTTTTTCTAGAACTCTGATAAAAATATGCGAGATAACAGGCGAACATCGGCGAGCCTGAGGAAGGATCGCGATGTACGTTCAGTCTCCATCCGTGAGGGTTTCGATGCCATTGCTGGAGACTGCGCCTAGTCGGAATAGGGCCAAAAGGCGAGCTAATATTTGAGTCTTAGGCCTAGGCAAAACGTCGAACTTGTCATGAGACGAATCAAACTCTAATTTGGGTCGACCTAAATTATTAAGATCGTCTGTTGGGTCTGACGTCGAACTTAGGACTCGTCGAACCAATTGCAATCAACTGAATCAAACCAAAAAGGAATTTTAGCCGGCCAGTAATAAATTTTCTCCCGAACAAGGCTAAATACACATTATCATACAAATGTAATTTACTAGTTTAGTTCGTCGCGTGTGAAGATTGACGTTTGTCCTGGAGACGATCTTCGGACGTTCTATCCGTCTGAAACAGACGGATAGAACGTGTTGGACGATCCAAACTCATTCAGACGAACTTAACTGAGCCAGACGTCGATCGTTCATGAACTTAACTCACAACGTTTGGTTCGTCTCGTGAAAAGTTCGACGCTTGGCCTCGGCTTTACGGGCCTAAAATTTTCAAGCCACAGCAGAAAAAAAAAAGAGAGAAAGCAGGGAGAAGAAAAGAAAAGGAAGACAAAAGGCAACGGTCGCAGAGTTATCTCATTTGGTAAGGCCACTGTTACTAGATGAAAGCGGGATGAGAAGTGTGAACATCTTCTTCTTTACGTACGTACCGAGGTATTCTTCAAGCGAAATTTTTCCATCTTTATTCGTATCAAACGCTTCCAAGTTCTCCTGTTACAACAAAACAGAACAACAGTTATCTTCGCACAAACTTTCTACTGATATTCCGTAAGTGGAGCAATTTTCAATTGGCAGGTGAACCAATTAACTAAGTATAAAAAACCATAGTTTCTTTGATTAAACTAAAAACCGGCGATTACGATAGTGGTTTTTAAGAACCTGTTTGGCTAAAGGAGGCAGTCAAACACCCCCCCCCCCCCCCCCCCCCCCCCCCCCCCACACACCCCACATTTTCAAATTTATAACAAAATCTTTTTTTTTTTTTTTATTTTATTTAATAAATTTTATTAATTTAAAAAATAAAAAAAAAAATATATAATATACGACTTTTGATTGTTGTGTGTGACGTCACACCCCCCCCCCCCCCCCCCCATCCCTCCATACAAGAACCTGTTTAGCCTAAAATTTGAAACAGGTTCTTAATTATTTTCTAAAGTCTATCAAAAAATTCTGTAAACTTAGGCAAATAAGATAAGCCAGCATTCAGGATCCTCTTTGGAGACCTAGGTGCCTTATCACTCAAACTGCAATACTAATTTATTATGCAGATTTTATATAAGGAATAAGCTGAATACCTCTAACTACTCTTAGCTACAATGTATGTTTTTTCTTAATAAAAAAAAACCGTTTTAAGAACTTAACTAGCCTAAGTTTCTGCTCATTACCATCTATGTAAGAACCTGTTTAGCCTAACTTAGGAAAATGCAGCATCTTATTCGCGGGTTTTTACTGCTCGATCATTCACATGACTCGTGTGCGCAGTTTCCGTTAAGGTTTTAAATGAAAATACAGAGTGGTCTTTCCCACAGCCAACGTTACCACGAACTCACTTGTAACCTTGATCCCAGAGACGTTTCTCTTTAGCTTCCTCTTTTGTGAAAAGCTGAAGAGAAATGACTGTCCGGATGGAGGCTAATCCAGCCTCGCTTCCAGGGGCTTTCATCTCCCTTCCTCCCCCCACTCTCCAACCCAGAGGACGGAAAGGGAGACACTGGAAACAAGGTTGGGCTAAATCAATCGCTTTACCTGGACAAGAAATGCCGTCATTCGTTTAGACTCCTCGGGATGGAGAAAAAGTGTGAGCTCCTCCATAGACAGTTGGCCATCAGTATCTGTGTCGGCAAAGTCGAACTTTTTCTTCTCACGCGCTTCGATTTCCCTCAGTTCTTTGGAGGTCTCTTCAGGTAAACCTGTGAGAAATAAGCGCCTGTTTCATTAGCCCTTTAATTTAGGTCCCAAGAGTGACCAACATCAATTTTCTCCTAACAACATTAGCAGATCATCAAGAGTAAAGGTTATGAGAATTACTTAATTGAAAACCAAAGGGAGAAGGCTTTGATCTTAAACCAATTCTCTCAACTAATCTTAAAAGAAATGTATGAAGACCAGTCTGGAGAATTTGTATGTGGATCTTGGGGCTTAAAGGGTTAAGGGTTACGGTGAAGGGGAATTTTTGACAGCTTATATCACGTTTAAGGTGTTTCGATAGGGTTTTTCGGACACCATACGCCTTAAAAGTGATTTTATCCTTGACCGATCACTATAAAATTTTCACCACCGACTGACTCTGGATTGAAGTTTGTCAAAATGTAGTTTAAAGTTAATTTGATATCACTATGACGACAATAGAAAAAAAACTCTGAAATCGAATTTGAAGCCGAATCTTACGCGATCTAGGCCTGCTACTGAAAACCCGACACCAGGAACTAAAACCTCCGTAAGAAGTAAGAAATTCTGTATGGTTGAATTCAAATTTTGAATTCAAATTTTGACTCTTACCGCTTTTCTGTACATTTCTGGAACGGTCCGACAGAATTCTTTTCCAACCTTCTCACATATTCTTCAAGATGCATATAATAGTGTCTGCAACTTTCATTAAGATTGATACATTGCAACACTTTGAAATTTCAAACGAACCTAGCCTACGAACCCGCCAAAAATCCGCGTTACAACATTTACTTAAATGCTCATTTTTCCAAATGAATGCGCACCATACATACCCTCATGACTAGCGCATTTCAGAGTGAATTTTATTGCATCTTTTGAAAGTTAAACATTGACAATATTTACACTGAAATGTACTAGAGTTGTGTATGACGAGCTTCGCTGAAGTTAAAGAGTTATTTCTAACCTTCCTCTTCGGAAAAATTAAATTCCACAGCCTTGTACTCTTCCCATGATACCTTGCCGTCCTTATTCTTGTCCAGATCCTGTATTTTGGTGTTTGCCGACCGAAGCACGTGTTTTTTCATGTGCTGCTCAATCCAGTCATAAAGTTCGCTGTTAGAAACTTTGTTGTCTTTGTCTATGTCTATTAAAGGGTACAATTCCCTGTTACCAAAAAATAAAAATGCAAAACAATTAAAAACCTTGAGAATAATGTGGGCTCTTCATAAATCGACTAAGTTACAGGCATGCTACTGAAGTACAAAGACCAATTTTCATCTTAAATACGTACTAGTTATAGCTATCGCCAAGTTCCAAGAGCAAAGATTTTACCTATACGCGCGCGCTGTTCAATTTGTATTGAAATGTCATAAATTACCATAAATTACGAGAAACACGCGTATAGATGTCTCATCTCCTCTGGAGTTTTTATTGTAAGCACAAAAGCAATAAAAAATTCCAGGGGGCAAATGCGACAACTATACGTGTATGTTGCAAATGAATCCACCCGACGATTGGTTATAAACGGGATGAGGATGGGACTTACAAACACGCACACGGCTCGTGGATTCCCTGTTCTGTATCACGTGTTCGCTCGAAAACGATGAAAACACTTTCTGTTCTGCATTACATCACTTAACACTACCTTATGTACCATCGCATAGAGATTCATTCTGCCTAGGAACTTTCGCGCACGGCTTTATTAGGCTGCCCGTTGACAATAGAGGGGTGAGCTTCACGTTTACGTCAAACGGCAAGCGCGAATTTGTACCACGTGACCAAGTTTCTCCTTTACTTGCCGTTTTATGTCCATTATTCAGTAGTTTCACGCAATTTTTTATCCGTAAGAATTTTTTGAGCTGTTTTTATCTGTTCATGTTCTATTTTGAGAAATTCTCAACTTGAATCTGACATTTGCCGTTTGCCGTATACGTGAGGTTTAATCTCGCTAATAGCAATTTAAAAATCCCAGCAGACAAGAATCTGTCTTAGTTTAATCGGATCTCGGGTAGAACAAGCTCAGAGTAATAGACCAATTTCGATATATTAAAATTCATACTTGGCTCCGAGGTATGGGGTCATAAAACAAAAGAAATGTATTACTCATTGTTGAGCCTCAAGATGATTTCTTTTGTTTCATTCCGCCAAACCTCGCAGCTAAGTAGGTAATTTAATGTATCGAAAGTGGTGTATTGAAGTGTGGCGCCATAATTAAATTGAATTGTTTGACATTAAGCCACATTGAACTAGACTACGAGTAGTCCCCCATTTTTCCTCAGTGATAGTAGAGCGAGCGAAACGCGAGCGCGCGTGAAAATCACCCCACGCGAGAAAAGGCGACACGCGATGGGGAGAGAGAAAAATAATATATCGAAATTGGTGTATTAAAGTGCGGCGCCATAATTAAATTGAAATGACTGATATCAAGCCACATTGAACTGTCTCAAAGCTCATATCACACTAGGCCAATTCTGTGTTTTCACTTACGTGGCCAGCATCTATGCAAATTTATTGGAACAAAAAAAAGCGTTTACATAAGAAAAGAGTTCAACTCCCACAGGACTGGTTTGGGACACAAACACGGCCGCCGTTTCATTGTTTTGGAACACAAATATGGCCGCCATGACGTCATATGAAAACACACAATAAGCCATTTTCACGATGACATCATTTTACCACAACAAACAGAATTCATTTCGATTTTGCTTTCTTATTCCAGTGAGGTTTAAAACAATGAAAGCCCTAATTTCTACAAGAAATCGACAGACTGGTAGATTCTTGTGGTTGTAGTAAAATGAAGTCATCGTGCAATTGACCACTCCAGAAATACCATAACATACCATAATGCTCTGTGTTTGTCACTCCAAAATTTTGCATAAGCATTGTCTTCAGTTTCTTGGGAGTTAAAATGGCCCCAAGAGAAACTGAAAACAATGCTAGTGCAAAATTTGGGGTGACAATAAAAGAACATTATGGTATGTTATGGTATTTTCTGGAGTGGTCAATTGTCCTATCGCTTTTTTTGCACGTGACGTCACGGCGGCCATGTTGGTGGTTTCTCTCCCTTGGGAACTGAACACCATTTTCATATAAAATTCTTCAAAAAAGTGTTTATTGTATGACCACCACCATTGTTGCCTTGTCACGTGGCTCAAACCTAGAATCGAATTATCAATGTGCAAGGTTTTTCCTTTTTGCGTGTGCTGACGTCATTACGTCAAACTACAGGGGTCGAAGGAGTGTTAAGAGGTGATTTTGGTAAACCAAAAAGGAAACAGCCAGTTTTCCTCTTGAATATTGTGGCTCCCACGACACGAAGAGAAATGATAATTATGAAAACCGTTTAAAAATCTTTACAAGTTCTTAAATCGCGAGCCTTGTTCTTAAATACATGTTTTTTCCACCAATGTCAAATTATATGACTCGGTAAAAATAAAGTCTGGGGACCAATACACCCTATATATTCACAGATGCGATATGTAGATGTTATTGAGCTAGCGTAACGTTGATAACTTATAACATAATCAGAGAATTTTCGGAAACATTACAGATATGACTGATAGAAATTCAAAGCCACTTACCTCAACTTTTCTTTGACTACATCATCGGGAAGTTTTTCCCATTCCATGGCAATTTTTTCGCCAAGAAAAGCTTCGTGGTCATACTCTGGATTGTGCTCGTCAGCTTCGTCGTAATGTTCGTTTCGCGAAACATCATCGTGAAATTCAGGATATTTTAGCCGGGTTGCCTGCACTTTCAAAGTACAAACAAATAGCGACACTACACAAAATAAGTTTAGTACTCGCAACATCTCTGAAATCTTGGTACGCGTGTGATGTATGAGACGACCAGCTTGCAATAACAAGACAGACTTAAGATTAGTTTCAAGTAACTGAATTTATACAGTCCACTTCTGTCTTTCGTGTTTCGCCACGTTGCTTATAATATTGGCTTATGCGCTCTCTTCCGTTATTAAGAAAATGCTACGTGTTCTAAACTTATAGCGCCTACAATTTTAAAGCCCTTGAGCACGAAATGAAGTCTTTGTTAAGCCTTTGTGAGCTAAATATTCCTTTTTGAGAGTTATTTATTTATTTAAAAAAAAAAACGCTGTTCGCAATAGAGTGTATCGGATTTTTCTTTGTAAGGTCCTTAAACTCTGTTGAATGAAAGCAATTCCTTTTATCTAGGTAGCTTGTAAGTTGTTGATGATCTATGATTTCGTGAATGTATGCATGTCTTTAAATAAACATAACGTAAAATATTAGATCGTGTCTAATGTGCAGACGCAAAACAATGACGTCACTCAGCCAAGGGATATCTTTAAACAGAGGTAATATTGATTGTGCGCAACAGATCATAATAGGGCTATTAAGAACGCTTGGCTTGCGTTAACACCTTCAAAGTTATTAAGTGCTTCATTTGCCGATTTATTTATAAGTGTGAATTTATTCAAGCTTTTTGTTCGTTGGATGAGTGAATTTATGGTACGGTCAACTCCCGCTTTACGGACACCCACGTAAAACAGACACCTCATTATTATGGACAAGTTAGCTTTGTCCCTGGCCAAAGAAAGCTCCTACCAGTGGCGGAACCAGACCATTAGATAAAGGGGGAGGAGGGGGGGGGAGGGGCGGTCATCCAGACCCTGAGATAAGGGGGACGGGGTCCAGTCACAAAAATAATTTTTTCGACCCTGCCTCAGTTTGGTCTCAAAATAAGGGAAGGCGGGGGAGGGGGGGCTGGATCCGCCACTGCTTACATTTTCTCTTGATTCAACTACGGACACCGCTTAATACAAACACTTTCTTTGGCCCCTTCAGTGTCCGTATTGACGGGGTTTGATTGTAGTTATAACGTCAGCGTTGTAGGAGGCAGAATTTTAGGTTTATCATAAGAACTGAAAGGCAAGTTGAAAGGAAGGCAGAAAGTTTCTATAGTAATAGGAAAGAGGGAGAAAATTATTGAGATCCTTAAGAACTGATAACTAAAATCGGTTAAAATGAGAATGGACAGAGAGACAATGGCGGGCCAAGGGCAAAGATGTTGGGGATGATCATGTTGGCATTTAGCATCAAGCTTCTTGCTGGACACTGGAGCGGACATTTTCAGCTCTCGATCGTTTTCATTTTAAAACCTGGGTGATTGTTGATCAAATTTAGGACGATTTTTGTTCGTGTTCACCAATTTACCTTCTGTTTGTTGTACATTAGAGGGAAATATCTTCTCAAAAACGATTCTTTTGAAGTTTGAAAGTAAAAATTAACCGTGACGCCTCGCAAGAAAATTGGGAAAGATTAACTTGGACAACATCATTGTAGCAACCCACACTGGCATATCAAATACACAAATTAAAATGTAGTTTATTATCAACGGCCTAAAGACAAAGAAAAAAGGTGAACAAAGAATTTTAAAAAGTCTGCGATATTATTAAAGCTCGTCTTTAGATTTCTTCTCAGCTTTTTTCTTGCTTTTGTCCTTAGCTTTCTTCTTTGGCTTTTTTTTATCTTCCGAAAACAAGTCTTTGTGGTTCAGTACTTCCTCCTCAACTAACAAACCATCCTGAAAAAAACAAACAAACAAAACGGATATCTTGTAATGATGCAAGCAAGTTTTCTTCTTATTAACAGAAACCGACATCGGGCGTCCACCACATACAACAGTGTACCTGCATTTATTAAGGTTATTTGTTATATGGCTGAAAATTTTTCCCAACAGCGCGCGCTCTCATTGATTACTCCTTGGTCACATGACATCTAACAATAACACTGTTTCCCGCCAAAATCTCTGAGCAAGCAACATCGCAAAAACTATGACGTCAGATGATAACAGTCTACTGTTACCCGTGAATGTTGACCGTCGGACGCCGTTACAGCGAGGTTTAATAAATTTCCAGCTTCAAAATTTCCAGCTATATAACGAATCTCGAATCTCAACGTTTCCGAACATTGAGATTCTCGGGAACAAAATTAACTGTTTCCCTCGGGACCAGTCATTAAGTGTTAATTGCCATGCTAAAGGCCCTCTATACACCAGAATTCTCTTTTACTTAAAAAGGGTCTATTATGGAAACAACTAGGAATGCTATCACTCTACTCTCGATTAATACACTGCTGATCACTGCTGAGATGACAGTACATTAGGGGAGAAGGATTATCATCGCCGCTTTCCAATTATTAGGGAGATTAAGTAACTTGACGGCGAAGGCTACGAAAACGTCACTTACAAAGAGAAGTCGCGCTTCTTCAAACTTTAGCGCGCTTATTCCATCTCGTTCAATTAGTCAAATGCTGGCAAATTTTCCTGGAATTAAATTCTAAAAGAGTGTAAAGAAGTTCAGGAAAAGAAAAAAAAACTCGTCTTGTGTTCACGTCCTCCACAAAACGTGAAATTAGGTATTTTCACGTCGTGGTCGTGCAGTGACGTCAAAGAAGTGTACAAAAAAGCGTGACGCACGTGCAGAGTTGTTGTTTTGCCAATCTAAACCTATTGCTGTTTTGCCGTTCTCGCTGACGTCGCTGTCGTCGTTGGTTGAGCTTCCTATTATGACACCACATCGCGCCGATATCGAGATTCCAGCTCTACCCTGACGCGCTCCGCACTTTATAAAGGATGCTGGTCTCTTAGTGTTCTTCATAATCTAAATGATAATTGTGCAAACCCCCTGTATTTAAAAAAAGATATAGCAGATCCAAGGGGAGGGTGGTTGGGTTTTCCCCAAGTACTAGGTAGACATGACCAGCTCTTGATTAATCGATCGTTGTTTGGGGTGAGAAATTCTCTTGCATTTCATCCCTTATATGTTTTATAAAACCTAAACGAATTCGTGCTCCACAATTGTTTTGGCTTAAAGCACAGCCCAAAACAACAACAACAATAACAATGTATTTATTGGCAGAACTATAAAGTTTAACAATACTTATGCCCCGCAAATAGCTTTTACGCTAACCTAGGCAGGAACAAGACTTAGCTTCTTCCCAGCAGCCCTTAACCAAGAAATGGTTTTAAATGAAATGAAATGAAGAGTCGTGGATGAGAGGACAACAGACGTGCCCTCTTACAATACATTTTAACATGTGAACAGTAAGCTCGGACGTCAGCACTCAAGACTCCTTTCGTGAACTGCGTCCTTGACCATAAAAAAATTGAACTCAGTTTAATCCAATAAATATCTCCCACGAGTGTAACGATGAGGTAGTCCTCGGTATTTACAAGGAATGGGAACATAACTCGCGCACCTCGGGGTCGGGGATAGAAGAATCAGGAAGGGGAAGGTATTGACTAGACAGTCCCGGTCGTTTCAAAAACAGGATATAACGACTGAATATACTTTATTGAGAACAAAAACCTTACCCCAGGGTAGCGGACTGAGGGATACAACAGCGACCAGCTGGTATCTAACAGAACCGAACGGCTTTTGTTTATAGCTCCTACCTTGTTATCGTCTATCAAATCCATAAGCTGTTGTGATTGTTTTTTGGCCTGGGAGGCGGTGTTTAAGGAAGTCAACCACTCCTTAATTTCATCCTAAGTGTTAAAAGTATTAAGTATGTTAGGAACTCTTCTAACTTCTGTAAACAAAAGAGATCTTGTTCACATCTTATTAGGGACGGACCATTATTTTTTTGACAGGGGGTGGGGGAAGGGTTGGAAAATTTTCACAGGCAAGCAAACAATTTTTTTTATCTCCGTCTTCCTGTAAACACTTTTTTTTTACTTGCATACTGTTTATTTCAGTGTTTACAGCCTCTGCAAACAATTTATTTCAATATTTTCCAACTCCCCTCCCCTCCGGTCAAAAAAATAATGGCCCGTCCCTTACTGAATCTAAGCATGAAAAATCGGATTCCGGAATCGGTAGCTTTTTTTAACACAATTAGACAACAGCAAACAGACGTTTAAGCAGCTCGATTCTACACGCAGTTCCTTTCTACCGCTGTCAAGGCTTTTGTGCAAGTTTTTTTTTTCTTTTTAACCTCTTTATAATAAGTCTGATAGTAAACTCACTCTGCTAATTTTTCCATCCTCATCTTTATCCAGCATCTTAAAGAATTTTTTGGCAGCCTCTACGTCAGCTTTCCCCGCCTTTTTTATCTTACCTGAAAAAATAATCGTTCCATTATTTAACACCGCATTAACTTGAAATGTTCCTTCGTTCTCTGAACTCTGTTTCAAATAAACATCTTTCGGTTCTAGCAAATATGATTTATCAAAATACAGCTGTCGTTTAAAGTTAAATCTTTTTCCGCATCCGTTGAATTCCAAAATAAAGGTCTTATCTGTTGTCATTAAAACTGTTTCCTGTCGTCTGTTGCAACGATGGCAAGGATGGACATGTATTGAAACTTGAAGAAGTTGGCTCAATTTTATCAAGTTTCAATGCTATGTCTACAGAAATCACCAAAAGAATTATTACGGTTAGTGCTCCCTGGTGAAATTTGTTTCATATCTTCTTCATATTACTATACAGGAGCATTTTTGGTAAAGGTAAACGCACTAACTAATAACTTCAACACAAAATTGACTTAAAGCTGCAATACCCTCGCGACATAGCCTCTTTAAATATCTGGGTACAAGACTAAAATACATCACTAGGTTCTTTTAGGTCAAAATTCGTGCGCTTACCACCGCACATTTCCCGCGCATGCGCATGGTTGCATGATTTTTTCACCTTGTCACCCGGTACCCTTTACACTTTCCCGCGCTAAGTACCCGAGCATTGGTTGAATGCTATTTTCCGCGCTTTGCATAAGTTGCGTACTTTCCCGCCCTTGACGTCGATTGGATTTGGCGCCAGTTTGATCCTTTGCCCGACTTGATGTTGTTGGAATATTTTCCTCTGACCACTGGTTGCATATGTTTGCCCTAAGATGTTTGACGATTTAAGTTTTTCATCTTTCTATGATTATTATTTGTATTTTAAAACGTCCTGTACTTTAGTGTCTTAAGTAATAAAGACGTAAGTTCATGTAATACAATTTACGGCATTTTCGAGCGAGAGACGTTTAGCAGTGTAATGCTTAAATAAAAATTGCGTTTAGGGCTGTCTGATGGCCTAAATTTGTACCTACCTTTATACTCTTCCAAGGTCATCAATCCATCTTTGTTGCTATCCCCCGTCTCCATATATTCCTTTATAAAGAAAATTAGGCATTAATGAAACGCAGTGACATTTTATGTAGGCTCGATTACCAGCTGCTGTTCTGGAAATGAGCCCGCGCTCCTCCCGGGAAAGAACAAGATTAGACCCGCGAGAACGGCGCAAATAGAGAAAAGTCCTACACTGCTGTTCAAAAAGAGTAGGGGAAGTTTTCCCGGTGGTGCCTTCCCGGTGGTGAATGGGACTAAACTAAAGCTGCTGAGCGTGAAAAATAGATTTTGCTAATTAGCACCATTAGGTTCGTCCCTGGTGAAGTTCGACGCGTGAACTGGCCCCATCATTGCAGCGATTTTCTTACTAAATGACAAGGTTCACACAAAAAAGTAAAAACAAAAAGAATAACAGAGTTTATAACTAAGTTGAAAGCAAAGAAAACAGAGGAAAAACGTACATCGATAACTACATCGTACATGTGCGTCCTTTCTTCCGGGTGAAACATGGAAATAATTTCGTCTTGGGAAAGTTGACCATCTTTATCTTCGTCCGCATGATTAAATCTTCTTTTCTTTTGTTCTTCTGTAGAGGCTAAGGGGGGAAAAGGCACACAAATTGAAAGTAATGTCATATAAAAAGTTAAGAAAGTGGTTTGACGTGCTTGCAGCCGTGTATGGCGTGGTTGTTGTAAAAAGGCTTCGTTCGATATCTTTTGATAAACAAAGGGTAAAAAGAGATCTACTTAGACAAATATTGCTTGGGATACAGAAAAAATGATAATATGCTGTTATTTTACATTTAAATTTTGAGGTCAAGAGACCTTGAATTTTAGTCATCTAATGACTAGAGTGAGAATAATGGGACACAAACCAGTTTCCATTACGGGATGGCAGGAACACTATTTATAATTAAGTCTTTTTGGCGGCTTTGTTTTGCCAAATAATTTCCATGTAAAATCACTCCATGTGGGTTTGAGTGGTTGCCGCCATCTTGAATTTGAGCTCGTTACCAGGTCATCGCGAAGTGATTAAAAGATTTAGAAGGAAAGGGTCTGCGAAAAACAGATCTTCTTATTTTACCTCCAATATTTTCTTTGCTCTCTAAATATTCTTCCCAGGAAACCTTGTTGTCTTTGTTCTTGTCCAGTATCTCCACTCGAAATTTAGCTTCTTCGTCGTGAACCTTTTTCAACGTTTTTTCTGTAAACTTTGCAAGTTCTTCGACCGAAGTTTTATTATCAGAGTCCGTATCTGTAAGGGGAATTACTGACCTATAACACATACAAATAATAAAAAAATCAACAAAAATAACACATGGTTTGTGACGGGGGGCACTTAAATATCGATATCGTTGCATAACTGAGAGGGTCGCATCCATATGGCTCCATGGGATTGATTTTGTTTGCCCTTTACGATTAATAGAAAGTTTTGAAGGAAAACTCGCAGTTTGAAAATAACAGATGAATATCCACTACTGTAAATCACATTAAGGTTTCAGGTCAAAAACTAAAGAATGAAAACATACAAACAACACAAAAACTATCTTAAGATCTATTACCTGCAACCAGCAATCTTGAGCTTCTAAAAACTGTGGCGTGTTGTGGTTATATTTTATTATTATCATCATCTTAAATTTTACGTGTAAAGACTAAATAGTTCAACAGTCTATGGTTTCCGATTAACCCATTGCACCACTCAATAAACTCAAGCATTTAGTGGCCGAAAGAGTTTATGGGATACCATTTCATCCGCATAGCAAAAAACTTTAACAGATAAAACAATAAAGTGATATTGATCAAGAATCACTGAAACCCGAAAGACAACAAACAAGCCTAAAATGACAGAGGTAGCTTTAAGCAAAGATCGGTGATCAAGTTAAGAATCACTCAGAACAAACAAACAAACAAAGAACCTACTGGATGAAATCGTCATCGCTTTGGTGAAGTGTTTTGATAACATTTGGACAAAATGAACAAACTCAGAAAAGCGAAACAGCAATAGATTGAAACTAAAGACAACTTACCGAAGCTTCTCCTCAAGGATCTCGGCATCGGTTTTATTATTTGATTTTTGAGCCTCCAAATTCTTGGCAAATGAATTAAGATCGAATCCAGCCGGACATCCTGCATGCACTCTTAATGTGTAAGAACACATTAGCATGATGGCAATTGTGCTCAAACCACCCATCATCTTATCCGTGCGAGCTCTTCAGTAAGAAAGTAAGCAAAAAGGATGGAAAGTTTAAAGCTCGAGGCCTGCGATTTGTAAGAGTAGAAGACACGTTTTTCGCTCGCGTTTAGCCACGTTGCTTAACGTATTGGCCGAAGTGCGATCTTCCGTAAACATATGACAGCTGATATAATATGCAATGTCGTCAATTCACCATTATGCAAAAATAGATGAAATATCGGAACAAACGCATTCTTGCGTTAAATGCTTCAGTCACGATTCTAAAAGTAATCAATATTTTCTACAATCACCTAAGAGAGTATTGTATATATTGTACAGTAGTTTCCATAGTTTTCAAAATTCAAGGAAATAGCTTTATTTTTCTGTAGTCGACGATATGTTGTATGTTGCATGGCGGTAGCGACGATGCAAAATTTAAACACTCAATGTAAAACCCACTGAGAGCAAATCCAATATTAAGTTGTATTATGAGAAAACAAAGCGGCGGTGTTAACCGACAGAGCGTGATTGTGCGTACGACGTCAAACAAACTTAAGTCATTAAGTGCTTCTATAAAAACGCTCAACGGGGTTAATGCTCTCAATTATATCTTTTTCAGAATCGTCATTGTGTCTTGGGTCAATATTTTAAATGTACTCCATAGGGTATCACTATACTTAGCTAATATGAGTTAAATTTCGTGGAAGGTGCGAAAAGAGTATAATTTTAAACCGAGCATATTATAGAAACAAAAAGACGCTCGCAATTTCCTGAATAACTCTAAATGGTAAAATTTATCAATAAAATCGCGACGTGAGTATTGGGATTAGTTTTTGAAAATAGCGACGTCGTCACAGGGAGTGGCTATGTATACCGCAGCACATACCCAAAAGAACACGTCATTACGTCACAGACATTCGCAAGACCGCAAGAGATTCCTTTAGACCGGCTGACGAATCTTTCACGCGAAAACCGGAACCTTTTTCGTTATGTAATATACTCCAGCTAACTCTAGTAAACTGTTCTACCAAAGGCCGTCATTCTTTTGTCAATGACTAATTGTACCATGGTCCACATATGGAGATCCTGTCTTTAAAGTTCTTGCTTGATGTTTTGTCCAGACTGATAACCTTTATTCCCTGCGGTGAAAAGTTCCATGTGTGCTACCATTTCCTCTTGATCTAAAACGCCATCCTGTGAAAAGAGTAAAGAAAAAACAGAACAGTATGACACTGAAAGAAAATCAAGGAAATTCAATAAGCAAAAATAACGTAATGAGGACCTCACTTGGCGACTACATAGTGAAGAAGGCCAACAGACGGCTTTATGCACTGAGACAACTCAAGAAGAGCAAAGTTCCGTCGGCTGATATTGTTGATATCTACTGCGCGCTAATTCGCTCTATACTAGAGCACGCCTCCGCTGTCTTTGCTGGTTTGCCTAAGTATCTTGCTTGCTATCTCGAGAACGTGCAAAAAAGGGTCCTTTCCATCCTTTGGCCTGGTATTTCGTATGAAACAGCACTTGACAAAGCTGCATTATCCTCTCATTCTGACCGTCGGACAGTCTCGTGTATTAAATTTATAGGTAAGGTTCAGTCAGGTAACCCATTATACCCACCAATACACAACAGAGTGGTACCTATATCTCCCAGTGTGTGTCTAAGATCAGGGAGTTCTAGCAGGCCCATGGCCACAAGGACTAAACGTTTCTCAAATTTTGTTGGTGTTAAATATTAATCTTGAAAATCAATGTAGTGTATTTGTATATTTATTACAGCTTGTAAGGTATCCTACAATTCAGTCTTCCGACTGCAAAAGGGACATTAAACCAGTGATTTGATTTGATTAATGGTCCAAGTCCGTTCGCATCAACAAGAACCAGGTACGGGAAAACAGGCAACCTGTGTATATGGACGTGGGAAAACATTCCACCTTGGCAAAACGCGGGAAAACAAGCAAGCTGGGCAGAACACGGAAAAATAGCAACCATTGCAAGTCGCGCGAAACATGCATGTAACTAGTGCAAGAAGCATGAATCAACTAGTCCAAGACGCAGGGAGACATGCTGCCAGTGCAGGACGGGGGAAAAAATCAAACCAATGCAAGACGCAGAATACCTCAGGTAACCAGTTTTAACCGCAATAAAACTAGCCTACGAATACACCCGTCGCTTATGAGGACGGCTGTATCACAGACTACAGTAAAACCATGGGCTATAGGAAACATGGATTTCGACAAAATAAAGGTTGAAGTAGGCTTTTGTCATTTCCTGTCAATTCTGCACGTATATTTCTTGTAGAAAAGCACACTTGTTTCCAGGCTTTTCTTTCAGAAATATATGGACAGAATTGACCAGAAACGACCCTGAAAAGACTACTTAAATATGAGAAATTCAACTTTAATACACAGAAATTTAACCTTTATTTAGTCGAAATCCATGTTTCCTCAAGCCGATGCTTTATCATATGTTCTTGGCCATAAACTTAGGAATAGATATAAGACCGATCAATCATATCCTCCACTTCTGAACCAGGCCGAATACTGTTTAAGGAGTCCACAAGAAATGTAGGTACATCAGTGTGGAGAACTTAGGTGTTGATACTATTAGATTTGTTTGCTGAGACTTAATACCTTATTGTCGTCCGCTGTGTTCACAAGGTATTGAGCCTGATTCCTTGCCTGAGAAGATGTACTAACTGCCGAAAGCCAAACTTTCATCTCCTCCTTTTTCAAAACAATAACAACAAAACACACGTGGCTTAGAAAGACGAAACAATCAATTAATCATAAAAGTAAGAGAGACTATGTGCGTTAGCGGGAATTCAAAGAAAAGTATTGACTTTAGTTCTAACTGAAAAACGGGGCGGGAATCAAAGGGTAGTGAGGTCAATGGCAGCATTGTTCGCCAAGACCTTGGGAAGGAATATACAGGTTTAGTGCTGGCTGTGCGAATGCGTACGATACCGGCTATACCGCGGAGTTTGGTAGTGTGTGCTTCCTTGCTCATTTGCTCCTATTCATGCTGGTTTCTTTTTATTAAGTTGTAAAACTCAAGCAGGATCATTCCTTAGAAGCACCACCAACTGAGTTTTCAGAGTGTTCAGCGCAGGCTGAGATGCACATTTTCTCAAATCTGTGCCGGTGATTTTCCAATCTGCGCTAAATATAATCTTTCAGTTACCGTAATTCGTTCAATTCCATCTGAACAAAACTTCAAGGAGTTTTCAACAACTTTTAATAGAAATTCTGCTTTTTCAAGAGTTTTTAAAGCGCCCAGTAAATCTAGAATTAAATACCATTGCCTTTCAAAGCCTTCAAGGAGTGTTAAAAAATCCTGAAATAAAGAGACGAGTAAAGAGGGAAAAGACAAAAACCTAGTGAGAAAAAAGAAAATTGGAGGGCGTAGGCGAAGAGGCGAGAGGGGGTAAGGGGGACATGAAACCCGGGGAAATGACGTTGGTATTTAATATACTGTACTCACTTTGTTAAGCTTTCCGTCTTGGTCTTGATCCAACTTCTTGAAAGACTGCTCAGCGGTCCGGAGGTTCTTGTTCGCTCCGTTTACAGTCTTCACTGCAAAGATCAAGAAATGAAAACTATTGTAGCAGTATTAGTCTAAGGTCACGTTATCTAAGGCCAAAATGGTTTTCCAAATCAAGGCCGCAGGCATCAAATAACAACAGGGAGATTAAGATGGCACTACGGCGACGGGCAACGAGAACGTGAAAAAGCGATTGGTTAAGATTAGCAAAACAACAACTCTGCACGCGCATCACGCTTTTTTGCACATTTCTTTGTCGTCACTGCACGACTACGAAGTGAGTTGCCTAATTTCACGTTTTATCGACAACGTGAACATACGACGACGAATCTCTCTTACTCTTTTTAAACTTGGATATTTTTCTTGAGAATTCAACTCCAGGAGAGTTCACCTACATAAAACATAGTGGCCGAGTTGGGGTTAATCGCGCTAAAGTTTCATAGATCGAGAACTCCCTTTTTAAGCAATGTTTGTGCCGCCGTCGCCTTCGTGGAATCTTAAGCCCCGTGCAAACGGACGCAACATCGTTGGCCAACAACTCCCAACATTGTTGGATGTTACATTTTGCGTCCGTTTGCACACCCTGTTGCATGTTGTTGGATGTTGTTGCGTGTTGTTGCACAAAGTTTGAAACCGGTCAAACTTTTCAGCCAACAACTCCCAACATTTCTTTTGGTCCGTGATCGCCGAAACGTAGCGCAACAATGTTGGATCAGTTTGCACAGCTCTTCCAACATTGTTGGGGCCACGCACGCTCATTACGCATGGTTTACAAAGACTTATGGGCTGTATCCTTCCCACGATGCACTGCAGGTCCCAACATTGTTGGGGGTTGTTGCATCCGTTTGCACACCACTGCCAACACGCACGCAACAACTCCCAACATTGTTGGCGCAACAATGTTGGCAGTTGTTGAGCCCGTTTGCACGCAGCCTTAAACTCCCTAATAGTGAGGCTGAGGCTATCATTGCTCATCCGCTTGAAGAGTGAAGAGCCAAGTTAGGTCGTTTTAGTACATGCTTTTCTAGTTTAGCGTATTATAATGTAACAGTAAATGGTTCGAACCCATGAGTCATTTCACAAGTAAGTGGAATATGGAATATGAGGATCATATTCAATCAACGTATATAATGTTAACGATAAACAACACAAAGTAAACACACTTAAGATCAAACTTCCATACTAACTCTTCCAAAGGAGTCTACCTGCAATTTCTGCCCACAAAAAATATTGCGTAAGGCTACAGTCCAGAACGCATAAGGATGAGTCAGGTTTACTTACTCAGCGAGGACCGCATAAAATAAGACCAAAGCGCGAAAAAGAGAAGCGCAGTATCCGCCACTGACTTTGAGTGGAAGGAGCGGAAAGCATGAACTTCATAAGGGCCATTTATACCGGGAAAAGTAAGACGTGTCCTAAATAAGACGCAAACTACTGTATAAACAGCACATTTCGTCTGAAATAAGACGCGACTTGAGGTGGACTTCCACTGTCGTGTAATTTTTACTGTAAAATAGAGGTAATGTATGTATAGAAGTGAAAGTTTCATTGACGTCCAACTTTTACGCTTTCGCGTGACTTTCGATAGTGGAACAGCGACAGTGGAAATCCACCTTTAGTAAAGACGCGTCTTAGCTAAGTGAAAGTCACGCCTTATTTCAGAAGAAATGTGCTGTTTATACGGGATAGTTTGCGTCATTCTTAGGACGTGCCTTATGTAAGACGCGTCTATTTCTTCCTCGTATAAATAGCTCCGGCCCCGGTTGTTCAAACGTTGTATTGCGCTATCCACCGGATAAATCACTATCTAGCGGATAAGTATTAGGGAAACCAATTGCGCTATTCAGCGGTCCAAGAAACAGGAAGAAGCCTTATCCGGCTTTGCCCAAATTACGATGGTTGAAATAAGGAGTCACTTACGCTAGTCTGTTGGAACCGTTCAGCTCCCCTCCCCTCCCCTTCCCCCTCAATGTTTTTGATATACCTGCGCTGTACTCACAACCTGAATGCCTGGAAAAGGTTAGCAAATAGGAAATTACCTTTGTATTCATCGAATGATAGAAAACCATCATTGTCGCCATCTACAAATTCAAGGAATTCCTACGATAAAATAACACATAACTTAATGCTTGTTGAACTTTGCGGCCTAAAAAACGTACAATAGTGACCTAGAGCGTCAATATAGTAAAACCTTTTGTTTCCCTAACGACAAAAAAGAAGAAAACAAACTGTAAATCGCGGGAGGATCGTAGAGAAAGCACGAAATTTGTCCACATCAGTGGCAAAGTCAACAAGATCAGTTATTTATTATAAACAAGAAAACGCAAAAGTAACGAAATCTTACGTCAACTATAACAGTAAACATGTGTGGATTTTCCTCGGGGTGGAACATGGATATCAGCTCGTCACGTGACAGCCCCCCATCCTTGTCGACATCCGCTTGTCCAAATCGTCTTCTGTCCCGTTTACGTTGTTCCGCTGTAAACGCTGTAAAAAACAACCAACCAACCAAATAAATGAGGCAACAAATCAGGTTGTTGAAAGTTGCGGGAAAAATTTCTGATTAGATAAAATTTCGTCTTGAGCCAGTGAAACGCGCAGATGTTGTTGCAAAAATTAGAGCTACGCTCTACTTCCTGCAACAACTTTTCGCAAACTGCAACAACATGTTTTGTTGCAAGCTGGGTTTGATTCGTGGTTGGTAAAACGCGTAACATAGACTTTCAACTCATTTTTTAGCAAATTGCTAAACAAGTTGCGCATTTTTGTTGAATGTTTTACCCTAGCTTAAGCACGTCGCATGTGCATTAAATGTTACTTTGTCATTTTTAAACGCATCCTACAAGGCTAACATTTTGTTCAACAGGTATTGCAGCGATGCTGCAAAACAATTTGCTTGTTATTGCTCGTTTTATTAAAAGTCGTGCACAACAAAGACTCCGCCCCTTTGAGAAACGTTAGCCCGTAAAATCACAAAACATTTCGACGAGAAGGTTACCTCCTTTTTTCTCAGCGCTGTCCGTATACTCATCCCAGCTAACTTTGCCATCGTTATTAGTGTCCAAAGATTTCAACCGAGTATTGGCCTCATCTTTGTAAAAAGCTTTCATACTTTTGTCTGTCCGTGCGGCAAGTTCTTCAACAGATACCCGACCATCACCATTTATGTCTATTAACGGAATAACTGATCTGCCAAAAAACGGTAGTAAAGAAATAACTGTTTGCTTTTTATAGGATTTTTCGTCAAAGCACACTTCTTATAGACCTTTTCACGGTTTTTTTCAAATTTTGACATGGACACGTTAGGGAAAATCCGTCGACACCCTTAGTATTGCTGGGAAACTGCCTACCTACCCGTCCCCTAAGCCATCATTTTGCCCTAAGCCAGAGGTATGTGTTAATGTTAGCTTCGGGGAGGGGTAGGTAGGTAAATTGATCCGTATTGTTTGGGGTCAGGGAAACGCGCTATTGGTGACTTCTCTTCCGAGCAGCTGCTACATGACCCGCAGACACCACTGAAAATAGCGCCTTATGCGTTAAGATTGGTAAAATTGCCAAGTTCTAAAGTGATTTGTGGAAAACTAACGAAGTTATGGCTCCTCAAAGTCGAGAAATTTTACAGACGTTTGTATGGGGAGGGGGGGGGGGGGGGGAGGATGAAAGGGGGGGGGGGGGTTGCCCGCCAACCACACAAGGACCGGTTAATCTTCGCACCTTGGCGGAGCTATTTCTTCGCACGCGTACAACGTATTTCAAATAATGTTGGTCGGAATGTGAAAAAGAACGAGTCTATCGACTTATCAATGTTGTGATGAAGCAAAAAACAAAGGTTCTGTCAATATGCAAGATTAAAAATATTGAGGGGGGGTGGGGGGGGGGGGGGGGGGGGGGGGTGGGGGATCGAAGGGGCGGAGGGAGTTGCCCGCCAACCATACAAAGGCCTGTTAATCTTCGCAACTTTGCGGAGCTATATCTTAGCACGCTTACAACGTATTTCAGATTTGGCAGTGTTTACTAATATTAAGACGCTCTTTCCAGTGGTGAAGACGGATTTTCCCCAACTGGTCCATGTCAAATGTTGAGAAGGTCCGTGAGAAAGTCTATTGTGAAGAAAATTTTTTTCTCCCCTGAACCTCAAGGTAGGCCAAAATCTGCACTTTACGCTCTTAGGGAGGTCCCTAAGCGAGACGAAGGAGATCCCCGTCCACTTATATGAGTTTCTCTCCGGCAGGAAGGGAGGGTGTTCCCTTCGCGATGAACGAGTAAGAACTCCTCGCACGCCAGTGGGTAAAACACGAAGGTACCAATGCAAGGGAAAGGTGAAACGCGAGAAATAAGTTCGCTTTTCCGAGAGAAGTCAAATGTACCACAAAACTTGTGCTGTGCGAATCAATTAAATAAATATAGGGGGACAAAGAGGCTTGTCTATGATCGTCTATGCAACATTTCCCTGGACCCCTCTTGTTTTTCACGTCTGTCGCGGTTTGTAGGTTGTCACGCAAGGAGTTGGTATCCCATAAAAGCATATAAATACCGCGGAGCATGCTATGCATCCCGAGATGGGAATTATGGTCCTGTTCAGCAGTTGTGAGAGTAGAGCTTGTTTGAAGCGAAATGCTACATTGTTAATCGGTTGCCTTTGTGAACAACAGAATAATTTTTTAGCCCAAGATTGATCTGCAACGGGTTGAACCATATTTCTACCACAACGTGTTTGGCATAATTTTGATATTGTTCCTAAACTCTTCCCTCATTTCCCTTTCAAAATATCACATATCACAAACCATTTTCCTAAATGTACATTCAAAAGATAAAACTTCGATTCTCTCACCTTAACCTTGATTCTTCTCTGTCTTTGTCAGTTTGAGTAAAATGGTTTCGGTGATTCGATGATTGTTCATGACCCTCAAAATGAGCTGAAATTCCTCGCCATGGAGCCAAGTCAAACATGACAAGAAATACGAGGAACATGACCATGCTGCTTCAAAGTTAAGGCTACAGTTTACCAACTGTGTTTGTGTAAAGAAACTTTTTAGGCGAGAGAAGAGTTTCCACCGACAAAAGTATGAAAACATCTTTGTCTATGAGGATTGTGTGACATACACGTGTTTCCGGTATCGGAAACGGAAGTCCTACGTCACAGACTGGTTGGAGAGATGCGAGGGAGATCAACTGCTTTTGTGTGATGATACCAGGCTCTGAAGATCGCGAAAAGGTGAAGAAAACAAATGGACTCATTATACGGGAGCTCTTAATTGCAGATCACACTGTCCTCTCCAATCTTCAACACCTTCCTGTCAACGATAGTGGAAATACTGAACTTGATCTCTCCCCGATCGTAAATAATACAACTTGATTACAGGTTATACTCCCATGCGCTCGACTCATTCCAAGCTGTCTTATCTCCACATCCTTCTTGGCTTTATGTCGCCTGCAATCTCTCTTCGCATACTCTGTTTCGCAGCCGCTCGGGAAGACGTCAAGCAAGCTCCACGCCCCCGAGCTTGCGTGACTCCGGCCCGAGCGGCTGCGAAGAAGACTACTCTTCGGTAAGCTTAAAATTGATCGCAGCGTAAGAGACTTCATCTCATTTGAAATTGTTACCTTTTTGCGCTGCTTTTAAATGAAACCCTTTCTTATTTTACAGTTGATTTAATTCAATTCATCATTGCTAATCCATAAATACCGTATTTATTCGAATAAGCGCCCAGCCTCGAATAAGCGCCCACCCCACCCCACTCCCTCCCACACAAACTCAAATAAGACATAATAAGAGACCCTCCCGAAGACGGAGTTTTCTTCAGAGTATTTTACAGATTGGGCTTAAACCTTGCTTTGTTACTTCTTCGCTTTTTGTTATTACCATTTATTATTTTGTAGCAAAATAAACATACTACACTTGCTGAGAATGGCGAAAATTTAATAAGCGCCCAGCCTCGAATAAGCGCCCACTTTCAAGGTCCAAAAATTTAATAAGCGCCCAGGGCGGTTAATCGAATAAATACGGTAAATCACAACAAAAAGTACCTTTTTCCCACGGTTTGGCCAGTACCTTGAAGGCCGCGTGTCCCCTGCTTAGCTCGATAGGGTGGATTTCCACTGTCGCGTAATTTTCGGGTGCGTACGCACGTACATTTTACGCGCGTAAATAAAATAGAGGCAGTGTATGGAAGGTAACGCGTAAACGTCAAAGTTGAACCTCGCTCAACTTTTTAAAACGTACCACGTACGGCTGCGCGAATGAGTACGCTCCTAGCCAGACCAAACCTGGGAGATTGTAGGAATGACTGTGTCCCCTGCGCGAAGATTTGAAATGTTTTAGGTGAGACAAGACCTCATTACGCTGCCACAGGATGACAAAACGTTTCGAAGTTTCAGAACGAAGTGTCCAAAAATGGTTACGCCTTAGGAGATATGTCACACAAAGTATCACTAACCGTAACAACTATGATTTTATTATAACTGAAAAGTCATCTTGGAACTCACTGTTAAAAAATGCCTCATATGCTTTACAGAATTTTAACCAAACACTGATAGTTCAACGAGGAGCCATCCTCGACCTTAAGCTTTTACTCCTTTCTCGGGCAAAGAAGAGTTCCGAACCTGAAGGCGAAAAAACATGAGCGCACCGCGTACCGTAAGGAAACAAGTATTTTCCACCCAAGGCGCAACTGCACCAATGAAACAAAAATATTGAAAATGGTGAGGCTATCACTGTTTGATCACAATGTAAGTCTAGTATCATATTAAATATTGTGCAACTTTAGAAAATAAGGACTTTTTGTTATCTATAAGTCATTTATAAAACTCTTTGCTTCATAAATATTTTTGCTCTTAAAATAATTCCAATTAATACAACTCTTCTATCATAACATCTTGAACTGGAACAATTGCGTGTAGATACTACCTAAAACAAATAGAACTACCAAATAATTTTATGGCTAGCTTATACCCAATCTTCTCGCGGTTCTGACACCAAAACAATACTGCACTCGCAAAACAATAATTGCTCTCGCCCGCTAATCTCGCCAGCTACGCATCCAAATGTCTTCAATTCTATTGTACAGAAACAATAGAGAATAAGGTGCCTCATTCTCTCTTGACAGCACCCATCATCGTTATAATAAGTTTACGTCAACCTGCCAATGAAAGTTTCTTTTTTCTAGGAGGAAAGAAACTGCAACGTATCAGAAACTGGATGCGAGAATCAGCTGTTGTCGCTTTTTAATTTCCCGCGTGCTGTCATTGCGAATCATTACGTTTCTCTTCTTTGTCCAACAAAATATTAGCAAACCAAGGAAAAATTGTCAAGCGAAAACACGAAGAAATCACGTTGGGTGAAAACACTCTGTCAATAACCAATCACAAGATGGTAACACCCGCCACCCCCCCCGCAAAAAGATTCTTTCAGTTCACTAACCATTTAATTGTTTTAATCTGATTTTGTTGATTTTCCTAATCCTCCAACAAATCTTCCCCTCACAAATTCCCTTACCCGCACTACAACCCTTGCCTCGCTAACCCCCCCCCCCCCCCCCGTATTTCTTGGTCAAAGGCCAATAAGATGTTTGATATCTCTCACTCTCTGTCTCCTTCTGTCTTCTTGGCTCTGCGTCTCCATGCCAAACGCCTGGCCCATTAGCTCACGTTTCTTTTCTTGCAAGCTAAGCATGCGCTCTTCCACGGAATTGGTCACAATATACTGCAAATGAAAAAGCAATTACTACACCATTGCCTAGTTTTAAATCGAGAGGGGCTGGGTACGAGTCGGTTTATTATGGGATAAACAACACGAGAGCCACATAAACATACAACCTAAAGAGGTTTATTATCAACAGTAGAAATGAAGTCAAAACGTTCAAAACTTTGCAGTGAAACAGCAAGCCGCACTAGAGTTCTGAACATTTCGACGTCATTTCTATGCTCGATAAGGGTATTGACCATGGAAAATTGTTGATAGTTTCGAATTGCAGTATGGGACTATTTCGTGTGGTGGACTTTAAACAAATCAGCAATAATTTTCCATGGTCCATACTCTTATTGACCATAGAAATGACGTCAAAATGTTCAAAATCAAGTGGAACCACCATGGATCGACGGAACCACAAGCCGCAGGCGAGTGTTTTCACAGCAAAGTTTTGAACATTATGACGTCATTTCTATGGTCGATAAGAATATAGACCATAGCAAGTTGTTGTCCATTTGTTTTTTACAATAACATTTACAGTTTTCGACGACCATTTCTGTAGAAGTTTCCGAGAAAATCGTACGCACAAGAAAGAGAAAATGAGGTTTCTTGGAAACGGCCCACCTACCCCTCCTCTGAGTCATCATTAACACTTACTTCTCATTTAGGGCAAAATGTTGGGTTAGGGGAGGGGTAGGTGGGGAGTTTCCCCAGAGATCTAAACTGATCCAAACAAATTTCCATGGTCTGTGCTCTTATTGAACATAGCTCTCGACCAATCAGCGCGCGAGAAATCGCTCAGTTCTTGTAAAATCTTTTATGGACTGTTAAAAAGTTGCGCAGGAAACCTCGTCAAATGATACTTCCCCTAAAGAGTCCCAAAGTACAATTCGTCAATACACCCACCCATTCGCTTAAGTCCCCTGAAAATGACCAGTTTAAAGCGATTGTCGAAAATTCTTTGAATAGAAGCGTTCAATTGCCATTTTGACTAATTTTCCCTATCTACTTGCCGTAGTATATAAGCATAAGAACATGACATCGGTCCAGTATTCTAACCTTAGTAATGATAACTTCTTGTGTTTGACCAAGGCGATGGCTGCGATCGAAACATTGTTCCTCGACAGCTGGGTTCCAGGCCTACGATAGATAAATTAAACAGCGTCACAAACTTTGGCCATACGCTGTTGAAGAAACAGCCTACCGCCAACGGCAATTGACGACCTCGTAAGGCACTACAGCAAGGTAAACGCGACTACTTTCCGAGGCTACAGTTGCACTACACAAGGCAGTTCCTAAGAGACCCCTAAAACAAAAGCTGGCGAGAAGTAATTCTCCGTGTCTATACAAGGTTGTTTAAGCATAAAACGTGGTCCTATAGTGTGATAATCAGCTTAAAGCTATTGAAAAATATTTTCTTGTGGTAACGTTTACTATGTTGTGCAAGGCAGGTCAACTTTTGAGTCTATGTATGAAATCCTTAGGGGTGACCATACAAACGAACGCTACTGAGCTACCCGGTCCTGAGGTACTGTTTATTATACTGTACAAGGTGGTTCTAACTTTTGAGTCCGCGGATGAAACCTTAGAGTGTTAGCATTTTAAATGAAGGCTACAGAGTAGTATTTTCCTGTAGTATTGTTGTGCTATACAGGTTAATTCTACTTCTGAAGACCGTAGGTGCAATCCTATAGTGGGTTTTAACCCACTACTAAAACCTTCTTTGCAGTAATTTCGCGCTTTTGGTCTGTATTCAGAAGGAATGTACTTCTTAGTTTTGAATTTACAAGTTGTCAGGCTTAGGCTATGTTCTATAAACCAGAAAGCAAAACAAGCGCGCTTCAAATGTAATATTCCTCGTTCTTTAAGCCATAAACCAAAACAAGCACGCTTCAAACAGAATATTCTTCGTTCTACAAAAGGGGGCTAAGTAACCGGGGCGAAATGACCGGTAACCCTATGTTCAGACGGCACCGGACGAATTTTCGCCCGGCTGAAAAATTTGCCCACAAACTTAGTTCATACTGGAAGATCAATATTTTCGCTCTGTTCACATACAACCTTGAACGGGCTGGGCGTCTGAATTCTCGCATGTTTAAGGTGGTTGGAAAACACACAAATTTTCAACCGATCCCTGAAAATTCGTCCGGTGCGGTGTGAATGTAGCCTTAAAAAAACCAACCGGATCTAACAGAAATACACGGGTAGCAGCTGTTAGATTCAATCCAACTCCTCCAGCGGTCAGCGACAACAGAAACACTGTAGGAGAACTGGAACTCGGATCCGAAAATGTTTCTATGGCGCGAGCCCTGGCTTCCTGGGTCATTCGTCCATCCAGCCTGACAAACAAGAAATCTTGTTCCTTCAACGCGTCCTCTACTATATCCAAGAATGAGGTGAATTGCGACACCACAAGACTCTTTCGGGAGGGGTCTTTGTCTCGTATGGCACACAACGCCTTCATCAAAGTTTCGAGCTGAAAAAAAAAGGATATAAAAACTGTTAGAAGCTCTCTAAAAGTCAACCCGACTTGCTGGTTAAAGAGGGCGAGTCAGTAACCCACTCCATGGAGATCTTTGATTTAGGGCATTTGATTCCTAAGCTGGTCGTATCACGTCGTCTAGAGGACGCTTGAACTAGGAGAGTGAAGTGCCTTCTGATCCAAAATGCTACACACCCTACCGCGGGCTACATAAACTCGCTTGTTGATTGGTTCGAATTAAGGTGCTTTTGGGGCACATGCCCCAAAGAAAAAACATAATAAAGTAGAATTCCAATCATGAAAAGCGCGTTATCGTTGGTCAAATAAAGAATAATCTCTGCATCACGCGGTTCGTAATAGCGACAATGCACTTCATCCACGCCACAAATACTAGAGCGCGCAGGTCAAGATATATTTATAATTTTCTTACAGAAATAGCAAACCTTTAATGCTTGTGTATTGTTGAATTATCAAAGACTGGGCAATAAATTTGATCTTTGTTTATGTCAAACCTTGGAGCTCGTCTTGGACTGTCCAGATTCCTCGCTGGGTTTTTCTGTTTCTGTGGACTTCTTTTTCTTCTTCTCCGGAACTTTGATCAGATCATTTTCATTCACGGGCGCACGACAAAGGGGACAATTGGGCGCAGAAGTCTCTGACGTAATAACATCCATAATGCATTGCTGACAGAAAACATGCGCACAACGCGTAATGACTGGTTCGACTAAGGAGTCGAGGCACACCGAACATTCTTCGTCCACTCCCGAGGATAAGGTCACGAGGAGATCGTTGATAAGTCGCTGAGTGTCGTGGTCTGCATCAAGGTCGTCATCGTCGGAGTCATCCAGACCTGAAAGGACAATAAACAATTGAGTTTCAGTACAATTCGTGGTCTACAGGCGAATATTTGCTGACGTCATTGTTGACATTTTTCCTCACTGGCATACGACTTAACTCATAAAAGCTGTTGCCATATACGAACTAAATTCAAAAGTTAAAAGAGTCGATTAACTTGGGCATTTTATACAATTTTCAGCTTTTTGCAAGCAAAGGAAATTTCAGCCCTCGAAAACTGCGAAAATTTCGAGTTTTTAAAAGAGAATTTCTTCGACACCATTTGGTATATTGAACTTAAATTTTTAGAGATATCTGAAATTGTTACGCTCTTTCAATATGCAGAGACTTTACTTCATTACCTTCTTCAGATAATGATAAGCAAATGTTATTGAAGTAAAAAAATGTAAACAAAGATTCGCCTACAGCTCTGACTCAAAACGAGAGCCGGACAATTTTTGCCGTTGTAAAAATAAAGATCCTTAATAGAATGCTCCATAGCGGGAAAACCTGCCAAGCTATTTGTTCAATGTTGTACTTGTTTGTTTTACTGCCATGAAATGGAGAAACAGTTACCTTGCAGCAGATTTTGTGCATGTTGAAGCGACTCGCTGTCTTTAGCGCACAAGCTGGGATGTAAACAAAGCTGCCTGAGCCGCATTAAAATGGCGAAACAGTGGGCGTACTTTTTCAGCACCGTACCATCCTGGAGATATCTGAAACAACATTTTGAGATGCAATTCATCGTGGGAAATTGTGCTATCCCGGTGTAACTAGCTACGCGGTTTTATTATTACCGCGGAAGACTGACAGGACAGGAAGGATAAAGAGACAAAAGGCTCTCTTTCTTGTCCCTTAACATCACCCTGCGTGATAGCCTGAGTATCAGGCCTTCCTAAGGGGCTAGGGGAGAGGAGATTTTAGAAGGGGGAGGGGGAAGGGGGGAGGGAGGAGGGGGGAGAAGAAGTTTCTCTCCTTCAGCTCTCTCCCTTTTTCGCTTCCATCTTTCCCCTTTTCCTCCAGAAACGCCTGATACTCAGGCTACCTGCGCGAGCATCTCTCTGGCGCCCCTTTGGTAAATATTTTGAGAAAAGAACCAAGGCTATGCTCAAACTATATAGCAGAGCATTTGAACCGGTAAGAAAACCAAACTGGATAGGGATTCTGTTCACACATACGAACAGTGATTAACGGAGCGAAGTTGCGCAACGCCGACCTCTAAAGTGGAGAGTCACATATCGGATATGTGTTCATGCTATACCGAATAGATTTTCGTGTCGCAAAAAAAGCTATCCGCAAAAGTGTGAACATAGCATTAGAATCCATTTAGCGGCTACGAGTTTCCCGGGATACTGTCAAGTTGTTTCTAACCTTGCAATGATCAACTGTCCATGGTTCTGCATGGCATCGTACAGTTTCCGTTCCTCGTCTGATAGCTCCACTTCTTGGATGACCACGGTCCGAGGTGGTAGCTTGACCAGCGGTTTACCCTCATCCTCGTCAGACTTTAGCCGTCTAATGGAGATATGTTTGAGGAGTTTCTGCAAACGACTATGAGCAAAAGAGAAAAAACACTTTATTTGAGTGTCAATGTATTTAGCACTCCTAGTGGAGACGGGACCGCCATTTTACGTGGTCATCCGAGCAATGCGAAGGTCTAACCGTTTGCAGAGCAAAGTAAGCATCTTTGTTTCTCAGTTATTTTAAGACCCTGAGTATTGGTCCGATCCGGGTTATCGAGCCTACGACCTCCCGCTCAGATAGCAGTCAAGTACTCTACCAGCTGACCTTTTTATGCTGCGGTTAAACGAACCGAAGTTCATAAGCAAAAGCAAATTACGCTTATCTCGGAAAACACGGGAAAAACAAATACAAATACAAGGGCGTGGTAGTACAGTCTAAGACACCAACAGCTTCGTGAGTGGAAATTCACCATATATCACAAAATAAGGCTAGTAAAAAAACTATACGAGAGTACTTGTAAGAAAAAAAAAAACATGCAAATCCTTGAAAAGGGATAGAAAAATGTCTACATGCCCAGCTCATTAATTGCACTTATTATAGGCTGAATCCGCGGATGGGCAAGATGAAACGAATCCTGCGTTTTGAGTGGCTACCCCTTTGCCCCAAAGCACAAAAAACACTGGGGAAGAATGCACAAAAGGTGGAGGATAGAGAGCGAAACTTTCACTATTGCATATGCCTGAATTTCGAAAGATGCAATTTTGCATCTGGACCAAACGCCAACGTAACACTCGAATTAGTAGTTTTGGTTTTATTTGGCTACAGTCTTGGACAAAAAATGTTACGAAAAAATGTTTTTATGTTTTTATTTTTTGGTTTCAGGATAAAGCTCTCTAAAGCAGTAGGATTTTAAAAAAACTCGCCCCTTTGCCCCAAAGACCATTACTGCCTTACTGGACTATTACCGCCCCCAAATGAACAACATTGACAAGGGTGGGGTGGGGAAGGGATCCTAGTGGTACCCGATCCGCAGGATAGGCCTTTTGTGGGTAAGAAAGTGCAAAATTCTTTACACTTTTTGTTTAAGATCGTAGCATAATGTACAAAAGCCTTAATGTTTGGCAAAAATTTCTCAGGGTGAATGAGTTAGACAGAAGTCATCTTACTTGACAGCCAGCTGACAACCTCTTCTGACACTGGTTGCCAAAGCAGAGTTCCACCAGCTTTTGTCGTCAAATGGCTCCAGACGCAAAAACTTTACCACGGACCACAGGTCATCCAGTCTGTTCTGTATCGGTGTCCCTGTGAGAACCCACCGACGCTTGGCTTCTAGCTCTGCCATAGCCTTAGTCAAGCGAGTCTGAGGGTTTCTTATGGTATGACCCTCATCTAGGATGACACGCAACCATCTAATCTTGTGAAGTGGGGAATCATTCTGCAAAGAAAGTAACGTGGAATGACTGAATGTGCCTTGGCGCCTGTTCGTGTAGGTCCTGATTATTAAATAGCCCAGAAAGCTGTTATTGGCTTTACATTAAAGATGGAAGTTTCATTAGTTTAGCAGATAACATAATCAATCGTCAGTTAAAAAAAAAACGCGCTTTTATTCTCTTTTGACGAATTGATTTGAATATTTGATTCCGGGCCCGAAAAGTTACCGCGAATTTCGAGACACAGGCAGTGTGAAATGAAAAAAAGAAAAAAAATATTTCTTCCACTTAAATAGATGCCCAAGGCTTGCAGAAAAAAGTATCTACCAACTGAAAAAAATACGATCTGGACATTTTTACAACAACTTGTTAGAGGCCATGTCACTAGTTTATTTTATTCTTTCAATGTTTGAAAAAGAATAAGAGTCTGGACGACAGATCAAAGGGGATAGACATTCAAGGCATATGCTAGAGGCCCTTTTAACCGAATTCAATAATTGTTTTATCACTCGATCACGGAAGCAATCTGTCATTTTCACGCAACAGTGATCGCAAGAAGGAGGAAAGTGTCGTTTCATTAATGAGCAGAATATTATTAATTTTGTAGGCAGTTATTTTATTTGCAGGTCACGTGGTGAGCTCTCGGCCAACAAAAAGGAAGAAAAATTTGCATCAAATGTTAACAAGCCTTGCTTGTATTCAAACACGTCATGGAAGATTTTGCAGCATTGAGGGTTAGCATGATATGGGATTGAGCTTTTGAAGCATGCAAGGCACCTTGGGAAGAGTGAAGAAGAGGATATGCCTTTATTTTTTGGTCAACCATCCCCAGGATCCATTTGCATTAAAGATAGTGCAACCTGCCCTTGTTCCCTTAGGTATATGGGTGCCTGGGTACAAGCAGCTGCTAAACTATATGCATTGACTATGTGGATGACTAGCCTCAGGGTTCGTACCCGTTTTTGACCAAAAAAACCAAGTGTTTTTCAAGGACATTCAGGGACACATTTCCAATTTTTCAAGGACTCCATTCAGTGCAAAAAAGAACCTTGAGTCTATGTTTTTTTTAGTTCTTCCCCAACATGAGCAATTTTATCTGAAAGGTCTTTCTGTGTTCGTTGGGTTGGATAAAGTTAGCACCAAAATTCAAGGACTTTCCAGGCCTTGAATTTCTATTTTAAAATTCAAGGACTTTCAAAGTGTGTGCGAACCCTGTAGCCTGTTTGAGAATCTCATGTGAAATTAAAAAACAAAAGACTCAAATCAAGGCATCACAAATGGCATACTCACTCTGCTGTAGTCGTTAGTCAATGTGGGATAGGTGGTCAGCACAATGTCTTGCTGTCTAAGGAACTTCACATCTCTGAGTCGCTCTGGTCCATAATACATGTAAACTTGTAGACTAACATCAGGATGAACATGACTACAAATCTGATCCTAAAAAAACAAAGAAACAACTGGTCAGTCAATTAAGTAAAACTATCGATTCATGTAAATTTAGCCAAGGTCAAAAGCGAAGCTCTTGTGGGATCTTTAAAGAAATGTCTTTCTCAAGTTACTTAACTTTTGGCATAAGAAAAAAGGCAAAATGAATTCCTCCTCGTCAGGTCACATGGTGTTTGAGAGTTCAGCTGTTTTTGTTGCCATCTGCCAGTACCTTAATCTGCCCCGCCCACCTACCCTTCATGTGTATTTTGGGTTGTTTTAGGATTTAAAGTAGTGCTGTAGTTCTGGTTGTTCTTGTATGTAGTTTCTTGTCAGCCGTTTGTTAGTTCTTCTTGTGCTGTAATACGAGTAATTTGTGGTGTTGATATTAAAAGTCAGGCTGCAAGATTCATACTTACTGTCCAGTTACTGAGGACAGACAGTGGACACACAATTAAGGTAGCAGCGTGGTCATCATCTGACTGAGGTCTGCTGTTTACTTTAGCATCTTTTTTGTTCCCACCAGCTGAAAGCCATGGTCCCACCAACACATCATCCTCATCAATGTTAATGGGTGTGTGCTGAGTCTGGGGTGAGTGAACATCTTTCTTGTCTTTGCACTTTTCCTTCTTCATTGATTTACTACAGAGAATAACAAACATAAAGTGCTCAGGAAAAGGACAACATTTGAACACGTCGTCTTAAAAGTGTAGAGCCTTATAGCATAATCCAGCACCCCTGGGCTATGGGGCATGACTTTCTCTGCATACGGCAGAAAACATACAGTACTTAGCAGTTACATCAAGGCAACAAGCATGGACTTGGATGAAATTATTAACAGACAACTAAACCAGCAACATACCTGGAAAACTTGCTTAAGTACATCTGTCTGAACTTAAAGCCAGGCTGCTTCAAAGTCTTGCTGTCTGGCAAGCTGTAAATTATGTAACAGTGCGGTTAAGTCAACTGGCTGTAGCAAATTTAAAACACAATATATATGACTGATATTCCAATCAATGTTCTTCTCTAAATTAAGTCAGCTACATGTATATTTCCTAACAGAAAGACTGTGGATGAAATCCTAAATTTGAAGTGAACAATCAACAAACTATAAAAAACACAGATTCACAAACACAAACACAAAAATTGACAGAGAGATCCAGGAACAGGAATATCAAAAATTCAAAGCAGAGATGAAGCAGTACAATTTCCTCAGATTTTTTAGAAGATCTACAATGGTTAAACTGGTCTGCATAAGTTATGTGACTACCTCTTCTTTTTATCTGCTGTGTCCTTTTTCTTTTTTATGGTTATTTGTTTGACAGACTCCTTGTCTTCCATCATGAAATCTCCATCTCCATCTCCACCGTTGCTGTCTTTCCGCAGCATCTTCTCAGGTTTACAGTCCATCCCTTCGCCTGATGTAGATGCTGCCCTCTTGAAAAAAAATATGAACGAAGCCCTTAGAAAGAAACCCTACACAGACTATAATTAATGAGGACAAAAATACACAGCAAGTGCCTAGTAACAACAATATATTAACTATCAAGTCATGTTACTGTTAGACTAAAGGCAAGGACACCAGGGTGTGGTTCCTCAAAAGATGGTTTCATTTAAGTTTGACCCAACTTCGACCAGAGCAACATGGGTGGGAGGTCACCATTCTACCATGCTTTCTGTGTCCGTCCACAGTTGCTTGAAATCGTTTTTGTGGGCGGATATTCGAGTTAATTGTAAAGGAAACCGAAGATGAAGGGTGCTCTGCACTCCTTCCCATCGTCGCTAACTTGGGCTTCTTGCTCATCTCCAGCAACCCACTTTAAAAGTCCATGCCTCCCACTTCACCTTAAGAAAGATTGCAGAAGAAAGGCAGAAATCTCCTCCCTTGTTGCCATATTTACTCAGAAAAGGAACTGCAGTGATTATAAACTTTTCTGAAGATTTCAAGGTAACACCTTTTCAAGGGTGTCTCTCATTAAAAAGGTACTAAAGCAAATCAGCTTTGTTCATTCAAATGTTTATACCAAATAATCCACAGAAATAACAAAACTCAGAGTAAAATGTAACTGCCACTTAAACATTAATGGTAAGCTCCCGCAATTTTGGGAAAAAAATAATATGAAAAAATAATATGAATTAATTATATTGTATCTAGGTTGGTTTTACTGTTTTAATTTTTCAGGGCTGTTTCTAAGATTTCATGTTGCCAGGTAAATACAACAAGTAAGCAGGGAATCACACAGCTAAGGATTTCTTTCTGTTCTTTTTTTCTTCTCTCTTTCTTTAGAAGTAGCCAGGGGTCATGAAGTAGCCAGGGGAAATCCCAGGCCCACAGCTCTTACTGACAGCGCTAGTTATTTACTTTTATGCTGTTTGAATGAGTACCACATTTGTACATTACTGGTATTATTGTTAATTTTTACGCCAGTCCTATTGAAAGTTCCCCGGTTTGAGTGGCACGTGTTTGGAAGTGCTGCTTACACGTATTCAAGAGTAGAACTTTCAAGTAAATACAACTGTCAAAAGAAAGTTTTTTTCATCAAAATGAATGATGGAACCTAAAAGTTGCACACCTTGTGAGCTGACGACTTCCTGGAGAACATTGGCTGTCCATTAAGGTGATTAGCCATTATCAATGTGATGACAGTAAGCGTCTTTCCAAGCCCCATGTCGTCAGCAAGGATACCTCCTTTAGGAGAATGTGGCTTTCTATCAGTGGACATCTTTGTTCCTTTGTTGAACCAGGTACTCTTGTTGACCTGGGACCAAAATGGTGCTAGATCGCCATTGTTTTCTCTCAGCATCATCCAGTGTACGGCGTGTAACTGGTAAGGAAACAGTCGGGTAGTGATGGCCTAGCAAATAAAACATAGGCAAAAAAAATTAAAATTAAATATTTTGTTGGTGTGAAAAAACCTGACTGTTGAATCCGTGAGCAAGAGTGTTCCCTCCGAGAAAAGGAGCCATAGCTGCAGCCAAGCGCACCAGACAAGTCATAGAGGAAGAAGACAAATGAATAGTTGAAGCTGATTTATTGCTGATATCATGACCAGAACTGTTACTAGTCACACTTTTGAGACTCTTATTGAGTATTGAGTTTTGTAATTTTATTTTCTTCACACAGTGAATCAAACAGGGATAGAGTGTCGGAGTGAAAAAGCATGACTGTTAAGCATGTGGTGTGATATGTAGCGAGAGAGTGATATAAGCCACACAAACCGGTTTTATCCGATAAAAGCTGGAGAGACTTGAAATGACACTGAGAGAAGCTGAGAGGGGCGAGTTGTGTGAACAGAACCATGTAGCGAGACAAGTGCATGAGTTGTATTAAACCATTTTATTTCGTGTGAGTGACCTTTGTTGTAAAACCTCCAGTACAAAGTTGGTGACTCTGCCAGGACTTGTGTTCTGAGGAAGACGAGTTCTGACTGTGAGAACCAACCGACATGGGAATAAATCCGAAGAGAAATCAAACCAAGCATCAACACATGGTAAACAATGGGTGAAGTCAAGGAATTACAAGACAGGAAAAGAAAAATTTGATTCGAAGAAAAGCGTAAAAGAATGTTGGATGAGCAAATCGAAGTTTGTGAAGTTTGAAAATTCAGTTAAGCGAGCATTAGGGGATTGTAAGAAATCAGCTGGTCTTGGAGCGAAGTTTCTACGGGAAATTAGTAAGTCACATTCAAGTTCTAGAGACTATTGGCAAGGTCAAGGAAATTGGAGGGTTTGTGCGTGCAATACTTAATAAACTACCAGGCATGAGAGCAGATTTAGTTTGGTTGGATGATAATTGATAATAGTAGGGATTTCCAGCATTACTTGAATCTCTCAGGAAGTGGTGTGATACCCCCTTAATTGTCAGTCACCTAGGAAGAATCTTGCTCTTTACACCAAGGATGGGAGTGCAAGAGGGGGCCAGAGCTACATGTATTGCAATGGCAAAGATCACACTGACTTGAAACTACAGAAAAAGATCTTGAGTGACTAAAAGGTGTCTTTTAATTGTACTGGTCAAAGACATCGAGCACACGAATGACTTAGCAAGCATACCTGCCAACATTGTGCAGGTAAACACCATACCTCTATTTGTGATAGGCAACCTGGTAACAATCATATGTTGCTGGTGACCAGTAAAGGGACTGTGGTTTATCCAGCTGTGGTGGTAGTTGTTGATGGTATCAAAATAATGAAGAGCATTACTAGATACTGGGGCCGCATCAGCAGCCTTGGTTGATAAGCTAAACAAGCAACCTACACATGTTGAATGCGGGCGGATTAAGAGGATGGTCGTCTCAACAATGCAAAGGTTGCAAAGCTACAAGGTTAAAATCTCAAGCATTGATGGGAAATTTGAAGATGACGACACAGATCAATAAAGTGGACAAGGGTGTATTGCTCACCATTCCAAACCCAAAGTATGAACAGTTGATCAATAGGTATCATCACCTGCAACAATTAGTAACAGATGATAACGACAAGAACAGCGAGTTACTCATTCATGTGATACTTGGATCAAGTGAGTACTCAGGAATAAAAACTGCCACGAAACCTCAAGTAGGGCAGCCATCTGAACCATCACAGAACTTACACATTTGGGATGGACAATGATGTCCCCAGGGAAGGAAGTCCCTTGCTCCAATGTCTTTTTTTGTCTCCAATTTTTTTTTCAATCAGGTTGGGGTTCAGACTCTGCTACTGGTAACATTGTAACCCAGTACTACCTGCCTCATGGATGGTCAGCATGTGCACTGGCTCCCCCACCAGCTCTATGCTGGTGAGGAGGGTGGTATGTCACCAAGCAGGACGAAAACCAAAACCTGCCGAAGGGCAGATGAGCTTCTTGTGAGCCAACGGCCAGCATGCATCAGGTGTTGTGGAGCACTAAGGGCACAGCTTGACAGACTCAATCTGGTTGCTATCCACTACATCCTACCTTATCTCCAGCCGTCTCGACTGCCCTGCCGCCAGATAACTAGGGACAAGACAGAGAGGCTGATAACACTGTGCAACTCTCCCTCACTTTAAAGCAATTCACCTGTGATTCAAGACATCATCATCATGTAGAAACCTGGAAGACCCTGGCTCAAGACTGACTTGCCTGGCGTAGCAAAGTCAACAAAGGCACTGTCCTCTTCGAGCAGAACAGGATAGGGGGGGCCCAGAGGAAGCATGAGATGTGCAAATCCAAAGCGATCTCCTTGACACCTGCTCAAGAAACTCACCAGTGTCCAGAATGTAGCAGAGCCTTTCATGCCCGTACTGGATTGATCAGCCACAGCCAGAAAAACCGCACCTTATCCCTCCCCCATGTGATGTTCTTGGTCATCATCAACAATGATGGACAAATAACATTTCACCTGAACATCAGCAGTAGATTATGAGCAACTTTGCAGTTTAGATGTCCTAGGACTGGACGATAAGTCAGGAACAGACCAAGGAAATGTGTATGGCAGTTCATCGAACAGCTACACCAAAGTGAGAAAAGTTGGTACGAAGCCAGTTTGGTGTAGAAACCAGATCATCTCCCTCTACCAACCAACGGACGTGGAAGCATAGGGAGATTGGAAGGTCTGGTGAGAAAATTAGAGGGACAGCCCAGCATGACTGACAAGTATGATCAGGTGATTCAATAACAGCTTGCCCAAGAGGTAGTTGAATGGGTAGTGGAAGAACCAAAGGAACAAAATTTCTGCATCCCACACAACCCTGTGGTATGAGAGTCAGTGGCAACCACAAAGCTGAGAATAGTTTTCGACAGTTCAGCTAAGCCTAGTGAGGGTGGCCCATCATGGAATGAGTGTTTAAAAACTGGAACTGTCTGAAGCCGATCGATTTAGCAGCAGACATCCAGAAAGCCTTCCTGCAAATACAAGTGAGACCTGAAGATGTACTGAGGTTCCACTGGATTAAGAACAAGGACCCCTCTACCATTAAAGTTTTAAGATTTACTTGAGTATTGTTTGGGCTTGTACAGTCGCCTTTCATACAGCAGGAACACTAAAGTTGCATTAAGAAAACTTGAGAGAGAAGTATCGGGAGGAGATAGACGAGATTCTGAGAAGTCTTTACGTCAACAACATCATCGCAGGTGGAACCAACACAAATGAAGTTCAGAACCTGAAGGACATTGTCACCTCAGTGTTTGGTGAAGCAACCCTCGGGCTTCACAACTGGAACTCTAATGAGCCTCAGTTAGAGACTCAGAACATTGCTCTTGGTGATGAGCAGCAAACCTTAGCAAAACAACAGTTACGAGTTCAGGAAGAAGAACCCAAGTTATTAGGACTCCTGTGGAACAAAGAGGCAGACACTACTGCTGATATCACAAAGAGAACAATACTGAGGTTCTTAGCCTCAGTGTATGTCTCTCTCACATCTGTGTCTCCTTCAATGCTTGTTGGAAAGCTTCTGTATCATCAAGTATGAGACAATCATTCCCCATGGGACAAGGTGTCAGACAGAATTGACCAACTGTGGTTTTAGTTTGTGAGAGACCTTCCCAGCAAAGTTGAAGGGCTGCGAGGTCTGCCAATGTTCAAAGGGCTAATCGATCAAGTAGACTTGCATGTATTTGGTGACCCAAGCGAATCTGGCATGTCAGCAGCTGTGTATGCAGTCATAACTCAAGTTTCTAGAGTGAGCCAGGGGTTAATAGCAGCAAAGTCAAGACTAGCCAAAAAGGATCTTACATTTCTGAGGCAGGAACTAGTAGCAGGTCATATGGCAGCTAATTTAGTGGACAACGTGAAAACTTCCCTGCAGGGGGAACCCAGTTTGCTCAGTGTATGGATGGCTGGACAGTATGGTTGCCTTGCACTGGATAAAGGGTGGTGGCACTTACAAGCAATTGGTGGCTAACAGAGTCCCAAAGATTACAGCTAAGGAGTTCATGGAAAGGAAACATGTTGACTCAGACAGAAACACGGCAGACTTAGGGAGCTGAGGTTCTAAGGCTCATCAACTTTCCAGTGTTTGGCTGTCAGGACCAGAGTGGTTGTTGAATCCTGCCAACTGGCCAGTAGACCTGGTAACTTGTTCCAGCAAAGAAACAGAATCAGAAGCAAAAACAAACAATTCCGTGCTCGCTGCTGCATTAGAGATTAAGAATGAGTTTGAACTGTTGGAGAAGCATACATTCTGGAGGACAATAGGGTCAGCACATGGGTCACACAATTCACTGAGAACTGTTGCAGTGATAAAGTGAAACAAGTTTAATAGTGGACCTCTGACATCAATAGAAACAGGAAAACAAGTCAAGAGGTTGATCAAGCATGAGCAGGGAAGATACAGTGTGACAGAGAAATTTTCCGAAGACCAAGAAAAACTAAACCTTCAGAAGAGTGAAGAGCAAATCTATGTGTGCAATTCAGAGTAGTTACCCGATATATCTGCCTCGCAGAGTAATCTTGTCTGAGAAAATGGTGCAAGAAGCCCACATCACAACCTTACATGGGGCAGTCAAGTTGACTATGGCACGAATCAGACAAAATTACTGGATACCTTGCCTCTGTCAACTGGCAAAGAACATCATCAACCATTGTCATAGGTGCAAGAAGTTTCATGCGGCAGCATTCCAAAAGCCTCCACCTGGTAATTTACTAGTGGACCAAACAGAAGGCTCTTACCCTTTCCAAGTTGTTGGGGTCGATTATGCAGGTCCCATAGGCTACAGAGTTTCGAAGAAGAAAGAACGAAAGGGCTACCTATTGCATTTTGCTTGCAGTTTAATGACAGCAGTTCACATGGAAGTACATACTGATCAGATCACTCATGGTTTCATAAAGTATTTGAAGCAATATTCATTGCTAGACGTGGAAGACCCATGAAGTTTTAGTCTGACAATGACTGAAGATTTGTGCCTGCATCAAAGTGGCTCAAGAAGATCATGAAGGATGAGAAGGATGAGAAGACTCAGGATTATCTGGCTCATCATAATATTCTCTGGCAGTTTAATCTTAGTAGGGCCCCACGGTGGGGAGGACAATATGAACGCATAGTTGGAGTTGTAAAACAAGCATTCTACAAGGCTGTTGGGCGAGCTAGCTTGAAATTTGATGAACTTGGAGAAGTTGTTCCCGACAATGAAGTTGCTGTAATCAACCAGCCTTTATTGTATGTTGAAGATGAACTCCCAGTGCTTACTCCTAATGCCATGATGCATGTCCAGTCCAACCTTCTACCCGAAGAAGCCATAGACTCAGTGGAGCTCATCAAAGGTCAAGACAAAGTTGTCCAAGTGGTTAGGCTTAGAGAGGGAAAGTGGGATACTCAACAAAGTCAACCTGCCCAGTTGAATCCAAAGGTGAGAGTGTTCGCCCCCAAAACAAGCAGCCATAGCTGCAGCCAAGTGCATCAGGGAAGTCATAGAAGAAGGAGACAAATGAACAGTTCAAGCTGATTTATTGCTGATATCATGATCAGAACTGTTACTTGTGACACTTTTGAGACTCTTGAGTTTTGTAATTTTATCTGCTTCACACGGTGAATCAAACAGGGGGGAGTATCGGAGCGAAAAAACATGACTGTTTATTGGTGGTGTGACGTGTGGCGAGAGAGTGATGTAAAGGATGCAAACCAGTTTTATCCGGCAAAACCGGGAGAGACTTGAAATGAGACTGAGAGAAGCTGATTTTCTCGTTGCCTGAAGGTAAAAGTTAGGAATCAACCTAGGTTGAAAAAATTTAACCTGAATTTAATTTTGACCTGTAACATATAATAATATTATACTATTTATATATGTTGTAGCTGATTCTTTATCTCAGGCAATTTTTGTTTTTCTTTTTTTGGGGGGGTATGGTAATGTATGCTAAAGGAGTTGAAACAAATGAAAAATAAAAATTACCTGAGATAAAAAAATAACGACAACATATACATGTTAAGGGTCAAAATTAAATTCAGGTTAAAATTTTTTTAACCACGGTTGATTATCAACTTCCTTTGACTCCTGGCCCTGATTCATGAATACTAAGGGCTGGGATCCAAAGCAAATTGATAATCAACCAAGGTTAAAAAATTTTAATCTGAATTTAATTTTGACTTGTAACATACACATACCTCAGGTTGCTCAGCTTTTGTTATCTTGTTATATTCAACCAAAGAGTCAAAGAGTTGGTCCAGCTCATTCAAAGGCTAAATATTAGGGGGAAAAAAAGATTTTTGAATAAAGACAAAGGCAATAAAAATGACCAAAGTTATAAACATTGTAATGTGGGAATCATTTTGACCTACAGAATAAAGATTTCGAACTGAGGATATTGCAGTAAAGGAATGTCAAAAAGAGGGAAGATATGTAAGGGGTAAAGACATGAAAAATCCCTTTCATTATGCCTTTGGCACTTCGAGAATGCAACCTGCAAATTTAAAAATTAATAATCTGTTAACAGCATAATCAAGTCTCATGGTATGATAACAAGAAGTCTTGCTTCACGGCGTCTGGTTCGTAAAGGACATGTATTGAGATCGGTCTGGTCCCAGTTGTTCAAAAGCTGGATAGCGCTATCCAATGGGATAAATCACTATCCAGCAGATAAGTATTACCGGAAAAAATTATTGCATTATCCAGTGGATAGCGATTTATCCAACGGTTGAACAACCAGGGCCTAGAGAATACTTTGTATGTGAATATGTTACAGTTCAAAATTATAGTGAGGTTTAACCAAGGTTGATTCTCAATAATTATTTCCTTTGCTTCCTATGTAGCCCTAATCCAAGAATAATAATAATTATTATTCTTGAATTAGAGGCAAAGGAAATAATTATTGAGAATCAACCTTGGTTAAACCTCAATAAAATTTTGAACTGTAACATATTCACATACAAAGTATTCTCTAGGCCCAAAGGAAATCGAGAATCAATCTTGGGTAAAAAAAAATTACCCTGAATTTAATTTTAATCTGTAACGGGTGTAATTGGGGCTTAAAGGGTCTCAGGACCGGTCATTAAGTGTCAATTATTTAACATTTTAAAACAGTTCTCAGGATTGTGCTCACCACAACTGGAAATATTTGTGGCTTAACATCAGGTACAGAAGGATTCATGCCTTTTTTTTTGTCCTCACCCATTCCATTACACGTGCACTCTCCCTGACATGATCCACTGCAAGTGTTTAAAGCAGCATCGCCAGAATTCTGGATGCTAACACCCGATGTTCCTGGACATGAGCACACAAGGATAGAGTTACATTTTTCGCATGGTTTGAAGTTTGGAAAAGCGGTGGAAATTTCTGGGACTTGACTGATGGCTGATGAGGTTGATGATGTACTACTTTCAGGAACATGCCTAACAACTGCAGATGCAGTAGCTTCAGCACATGGATTTGTCAAATTTTGTGTGATAGCAGCACTACCACTAGTTGCCACGACATTTGGTGCAGGCATTGGAGTTTCAGGAAACTGACCATTCCCAGCCACTGGAATCTTGGCATAGTCCATATGCATAGGAGTTGATGTGGTCAACAATTCACTTGAAACCACACTGAGCTTTGGATCTTCACTTGTCGACACTGTGATTGGCATAGCCCATGGAATAACATTCTTCATTGCCAAATTAATTGCAGCAGAAACAAATGAAGAACTGAGTCCCGTCATCGGCAATGATGAGGTGGCAGGGGTGTGCACCAAACTCTGAGAATTTTCTGATGATGAACCTAACACAGGGTAGGGATACAATATAATTGGAATTTTAGGAGGGGCTACAGACGAGCTAGACTGTGGATCACTGGTTATAGGATTGGCTTGTGCTGCACTCTTGTCATTTGTTTCAGACATTACACTTGTTGACTCCATTTCCTCTGGCACATTTAAACCTGACTGTTTGATCTCCGATTTGTTTTCTGCTGGTGAATAATTAGGCAGACCTTTGATACTGTTAACAGTTGATGTTGTGCACATTTCGGACGAAGAACAGGATCCCTGGAGTGTTCCTTGTAAGGCACTTGGAAATAAATTTTTTGCTCCAACTGATGCAGTGTAGTTGTTACGCAACTGTAGATCTGCTGGGCATTTGCCGGTATCAAGTATAAAGTTTACATTTGTGCCACACAATTGCTTATCTTCACGTGTGTTGCTGATCTGGGCAGTTTCCTTTTCACCGTTGGACGAATGACAGCTCGATATTGTTTCTTTTCCCAATTCGCTACTTTTCATCTCTATACAATTTCCAGGTAAGTGTTGATGCACATTTGCAGTTTCTGTGCCTTGAACGTGACATTCGCCCGTTTCCTCCACTTCACCGTTTTGAACGGGCTCTCTTTCATTGAAAAGTTCGCCTTCTTGACTCGCACAGCTGACAGAACCCTCAACCAGGTTTTCTTGATTTTCGATCCGATTGTCCATTTTCTCCATCACGGAAGATAGAACACAGGAGTCGCTTTTAACCTCGCCAGTACTGCTACCATTTTGAACAACACCGTGAATTTGCGAGCCATTTTCCGCTGCAAATGTAACGTTAGCCACTTCCGCCATTACAGAGTTCAACAGTTTCTAGCCACAGGAGCTTCTATAAACGGCGCAGTTCATGAAGAATACAACGATCACTATCTTTGTCGTTACGTGTGTAGAAAAGATAACAAAGGGAAGCGAATATTTGCAAAACAGCGGCTAATAAATCAAAAACTCTAATGACCTTCAGATGTATTTCGATTTTAGCGCGAATCGCGCGCTAAGCATGCTCAAGATTTTCCATATTTGGAAGCCCCTAAAAATTCCCTGGGGTGTCCATAGTGCAATCTGATTGGTCGGTTTTTAACAGAGGGAAAATGACATGTAACCAAGGCTTTCGCAAACAAAAGCGAAGGGTCGCGTGAATTTACTGAAGTTATTGTAAACATTGAAAAGTTTGTTTGACTAAGGCTCACGAGAATTTGAACGGACATTTACCAACGCGTTTTATGGTCGATAAAAATTGATGTTATTCTAAAGGCATGGCCTCTTCTTCTAAAGATAGTCCTTTGTTTTCGTCCGAAAAAGGAAGTATGAAGGGTGACCCGTTTTTGCATGGTTCCGAAAAGCCGATATTTGATCGCACAGCTGGAAAGAAAGACACACGCGGTGGATTAGACATAAACTGTGGAAACCTTATGGAGAACTTGGATGATTTGACAGAAGAACAGTTAGACGAACTACTGCAAGATGCTTTGGATATTTTAAAATAAAAGGCTGAAAGCCTTGGAGAGAAAACAAGTCGTGGAGTCCCGTGGGGAATATTTGTCAGATAAAATGACCTTTGGGAAGAGCTCGCTTCCAAAACAATCTCCCTTTCTACCTCCGCTTGGGCAAACACAGACTTCTCTTGTAACTCCAATTGCTGTTTTACAGGGAGCCAAAGTTGACTAAGAAGGAAGGCGCCAGAAAGCAAGCGTGATGTGAATAGATGAAAAGAGAAGGAAATTTAGTATTTGAATGAAATTTGGAACCCTAAGAATGGCATCATTCAATTATCCCATGCTATCGGTAAACGTTTTTTAGAAGCGCACTGTTGTTGCTATTATTAATATTAATGTTATTACCAAGAATTTGAAGAAATGGAAATTATCAAGACTCATCACGGAAAGGAAACCTTAAGAACAAGTTTATTTCAACATTTTTTTGCTATAAACACTCTAGTCTTTTTTTGTCTACCTTCAAAAAAACAACATAACAACTAGCCTGAATCAACAGCAGGTTGTACTTATTTGCAAAAATGTTTGAACTGGGCTCTTGGCCAAATAAATAGAAAACATCATTGGTCCTAAGGGCATAATTTACTTTCCAATACTGTTGATCTGGTTTTTTCCTACACAATGGTCAACAATTAACACCAAGAAAAAAAAAGAATTAAAACAACATAAGATTTTTCACAGAGTTTTTATTATAAACTTAATAGTAACACATACCATTAAGTATAATGCAGTCTTGTGCATGTACATGTATCTATGAAAACCTCCATCCAAAATGTTTGTTTATTCGTAAAAAAGAATTACTATATTTCCTCAAATACTAACCCCTTTTGAACTGCTTTTAATGTAATGATAATAATAATAATAATAATAATAATAATAATAATAATAATAAATTATCAGTATTATTATTATTACAAATATTACTATCTAGATTAGTTCATCAACATCATATATATGTGAAGCAAATGATAAAGTAATGTTGTCCAAGCCTTGATATTTAGAAAATACAGTATCAGAACAATACTTTTAGGGGAAAAAATGTGTCTATCAATAATAATTATTAAAGTAATTTTTGGATCCTACATTGTAAACTTAAAATTCTATTTACCAGAAAAACAATGTGATGTAAAAATACTATTGTTGTGTCTCTTAAAGTGTAGCAATAGACTTTCACACTTTTTGCTACATTTCATACTTCACTTACCATCGAACCTGCCATGAGTGACTACTCAAAAATTAATGCGAAGATTTAGCAGTCACTTATGGGAGGTGGTCACTTACTAGAATCGACAAACAGGGTTTCTTCCTGAAAAAGCCCCTGATTCATCTCATTTTTGGAAGGTAATTTAATTTTTGCAATTTCTAAGTTAAGTTAGCCTACGAGGCAAGAGTTTTCGTTTGGTTTTAGAGCAAAGAAAGACCGAGAAACGGGATTTTTGGTTTTGGCCACATTAATTGGCTCTCAATTCTCGTTCTTTGCTCCGAAACTGCATGCACACGCTTGCTACGCAGACTAAAGTCAAGTATAAATATACTTCTCTTATGAGTAACCTGAGATGAGGCCCAATTTTAGCAGTTCTCATACATTCTCTCTTTGAATGTTGTTTACAAAGCGAAACGAAAATAGAGCCTGATCTCAGGTTACTTATGAGAAGTGCTTGCACATGGGGGTTGTCTCCTTGAAAAAGACAAGTCTCCTTGCCCAATAGTTTCACACACCAAGTAACCTTACTGTAAAATAAAGCCTAGTTTTTGTATGACAGGAAAATCCCAAACAATCGGGGATTTAACTGTTTTGCTACTTTCCCAGACTTTTCCAAATGATGACATCACAAAATTTATGAGATGGATGGGGACAAAGAGAGCTGTTCTAATTTTCCAAGGCATATCATGATCAGATTAACAACAGTGCTAGGCAATCTTCAAATCAAAATTTATATTCCTACTACTAGGGATATTGATGAATAGTCAGCAATATATTACATATCGGACAAGTCAGCAAAATCTGAGAAGGTCAAGTAAAGAGTGAAAATTGATTATGGATAATAGATTCATATCTCTCCTTTTGACGACTCTCGTAAGCGACCAGCTCTAGTTACGACCACCTTTGTGAAACCCCATTTTAACTGACTTAAACTCTGTACTGAAAAGCTCTTGTAAGTGACTGTGACTACTTTTAGGATTATCCAAGTGAACTTTTCCTTTGTTTTTAAGCTCTCGTAAGTGACCACTCAGACTCAATAAAACACAAACTGTGAGTTTATTGAACAGCTTCAAAACCTTCTGATGTAGATCAACTCTCTCTTGCACTAATATTTAGATATGGGGTTATTTTGGTCTGAAAAAATGGACATAAAGTTTAGCTGTATCTAAGTCAGGTATAAAGACAGTTATTAAACATTAACTTCCTTTTGCGTTTTCTTTGTGAATTATTTATGAGTTTCTGAAACTCTCGTAAGCGACCACCTTCTATTGTACAGGTTTTACCATGCAGTCAACCATATACAAGAGCTCATTTTCATAAGTGACTAGCTCTAGTTATGACCACTTCTTTCGAGTTTCCGAGGTGGTCCCTTACGAGAGCTTCAACTGCATTTTTATAAACTAGGGTTAATTCGCAAAACTAAGGGCAAAAGTAAACAATTGAAATCAAAAAAATCAGAGGACAAGGGAAAAGAAAGATCTAGCCAAACACTGTTCTTGTGGCGAACAGGATAACAATAATTTCAAAACTGACACCAGCTATTAGTGGAAAGGGAGTCAGTTTTGTTTTAGTGTACAGAGTAGAAAAAAGATAAGATTTTAAATGTGTAAGAACAATTTAACACACATGTATAAGTAAGTCAAACAAACAAAAAAATATCAGTGGTGTACATTGGCAAAATAAAAAAAATAGTATGACAAAATGGTTTAATTTATGAACTCAGCTAATAAGGAAAATGTTGGATAGTGTCACAATCAAATTCAAGTTAAGATTTTTTACATAATTATAACCTGTGTTGTTTCTTAACCGAATTTAATTTTCAGCTAAAAAATATAATCTATGCCACCCATTTAAACAGGCAAGTTCAATTCAGGGCTAGCCCTTCAATATGAGAGCCACTGAATCCCTCTACAGTAAACAAAAAAAATTGCTGACCTTTTCAACAACTTCATCCTTGAGATCAACTCAATGCAATACTACACCTTGGTAATTGGTTAATATAATAGCTGCAGCCACACCATTGGACTCAACCAAGTTATTTCCAATTAACAAATTAAAGTTAACTTGTTCAAAAAAAACTGCGAGTACGGCCAGGTACTCTACAGTCTTATCCTAGTTCTAACCAGGTTATGCAAATCAAGCAAGAAAAATTTTTCTTAACCAGATTTGTCTGTTTTAAACCACCTTGCCCGGTAGTTTAACGCAGGTTAACGTTATCAGTTACTCAATCATCTCCACCTATGCGTGAGAATGGTCCAAATTTTGGTTTTACCACGCATGCAAGCAAAACAGTTTTGAAAATTACTTCTTCCACTCCAAGTTCAGCTTTTCTTTCTCAACACAATTGAGTTAAGACTTTTTAGAAGTGGGCCTCTTTTATCAGTAATACGGCCCGGTCAAATTTTTTCAGTCATTCATAGGGGAGCGGTATGAGCAACCCAAGCAACCGTGCAACATTGAGTGACTTTTTGAAAGTCTAAATTGAGTTTGGCAGTTGAAAAACAAATTAACCCACTTAAACACTTTTAACCAGATTACTTTCTGAAAAATTTTTCACTGGGTTTTTCAAAAACTAATCCGGTTAACTTGCCAAGTGCAGCCACAGCCAATGTTTGTTTGCTGAGTGGGATGAAACAATATGGGGGCAGCTTATTACGACAGGTTTTTATAAGCAGGCACCACTTCCATCAGTTCAACCTACAAAATTACTTCTAAACAATTACAAAATTTACTGTCGTATAAAATTTATTTCTTCAATCCGAGTCTTCTTCTTCCCCATAATCATCAGCCCCAGGAGCTTCTAAAAGAGGAAAAAAATTACTTGCAGTCAGAGTAGTATGTTTATTACATTATTTGACTGAAGGCATGGATTAATGTCATGGTTCAAGAAATTTTTTGCCCTTGGTTGTAAAATACAGTTAAAGGAATGTGCCTCTTGGACTTCGCTTTTACTGTAAAGTTTTATATGTATTGTACTTTAGACTCTTAGCTCAGTAAAGTAAGTGTACTATTGTTTCCTTTGTCTAGGGTTTTATACATAGGTGTTTCATTCGATATTGCAATTTTGTTTGGATACAAGTTACAAGTTTTTTATGTCTTTT